TTATGAATACCCTAAACACTGGGTTGATTATAACACTGGTGAAAAAGCAATTGAAATAAGACAGATAAAAACCATTCCTGCAGGACGAACCATTGAATTATATAACTTTGGAATAATAAGAGATAATCATCAATATGATTTACAGATTTATATAGATTTAGACACAGGAGATGATATGACAGCATTTAATAAAAAGATTAAATCGGTTCTTATTGAACAGTTAAAAGGTGCCGGATATCCTCAACCTAATGAAGTTGATATGTTTTATAGTTTTGAAACTAATTCAATAGAATTTCGTGTTAATTCAAATTCAAAAGCTGGTTTCATATTTGATTTAAAAGATGGTGCTGTCGGTGATGAGATTGAAAATGTATACACGAATAAAAATTTTCAAGAGATTACAGGAATTAATAATGATGAATGCTTTTATCGATTTGCTCAGTTCGGAGCAGAACAGATAACATTAAATGACCTCCTGGAGTACTTACCAAAATCAATTTCCATTAAAAATGATGATTATTTATTAACATCAATTTCATTTAATGGTGTTTGGTCCAGAGAAGCGGCAATCATTAAATCAAGTATAAGTGAGTTCGCTGAAGATTCTATTTTATGTTTATCAAACTGTTTATATTCTCCGCCGAAGCATTATTCAATAACTAATTATGTTAATAAATTTAATATAAAATTAGTTGAACCATCGAGCCTAAAAGATATTGTCCTTCCTGATGACAGAAAAGATAGTATTATTATCGAACTCATATTAATCGCTTATTAAAATTTAATTATATATAAATGAGTTCAACGACTGAAAGCGCATGGGCTAGTTTTGATGAAGACCCTAAACCGCGGAATTATAATAGAATTGTAATTCCTGTAGGTCTTTTATTAGCTGCTGGTGCTGTAGCGGGACCATATTTATATAGAAATTTATATAGAACACCGATTAATTCAACTGCCGGGGCTGATCTTATTCCAACAGGTCTGAAAAAATCTACACCGATTCAAACAAGCCCGACACAGGAAAGGAACCGCGAACCACTCACACGTATTAGGTCTTTTATTAATTATTTAAAGAATAGAAGAAATTAATTTGTAATAAATGACGTCGTTAAATGTAAAAATAATTTGTGATGATATTACTATCATTGATGATGTAAGTGAGTGTGCTAATATAATTGATAGAATTAATGAACTAATAAAGAGGTTCAGTGGTGAAAAAGTCAGAGTTTCATTAACGTTTAGCTCCGATGAAAAATTTTATGAGTTAATCATTATGAGAAATGATTTTAATAAGCATTAAATGGTATTTTCAACACTATCAGCTTTGTATGGAGGTTATAAAGCTATTGACGGTTTAACTGGTGGAGCTGTATCAAAAGCTTTAAAAAATAATGCTGGAATGCTTGTGGGAGCTGCTGCCAGAAAATTAAAATCTGAAAAGTTAAAGAAATTAGGTAACTGGGTCGCTGATCAGTCGCAGAACCTTTTAGGCGAAGATAATGAAATATCTAAGCAGCTAAAAGATTTTAAAGGTCAGTTGAATGGCGAAGAGTTTAAATTAAATTCACTTAAAGAAAAGGAGAAACAGCCAGAATATCCACCAATTGAGGCACCGCCGATTAATTCAGCACCTGCGCCATCACCAGCACCAGTAACTGCAGTCGCACCATATGACCCTGGCGGTTATGGAAGACCTTTTGACCCTAAAACAGGAGGTTCGAATTGGTTCCATTACGGTCGAAGATATATTTTAGCTAAAATCGCAAAAGCAAAGAAACTGTTAAAAACTAAAAAGAAACCAAGAGTTTTAAAGTAATTAAATGGTTAGAGATGTTCTCGAATACCCTGAACCACCTGAAACGCCTAACAATAATGATTTATATAATCGATTGAAAACTTTAGGTAAAGCGTATTTATGGTTTAATTATCCTTATCATATGGCGGCTTATAAACTTTATAAACACTATAAAGAAAGTAATAGACCTTCAACCGACCTAGTTGATCCGCAGGAATTAAGGAAAAGACGACGAAGCCGCTAAGCGGCTCAGATGGACTCAGAGAGTCCTCATAAAAAATAAAGTTAATTTTAAAAATATTTTTTATTTTTTACTTTTAATAAAATGAGTACTAAAATTACTGAAGCAACAAAACAAAAATTTTTAGTTGAATACATTAAATCAGGAACTATTCCAGAAGGTTTTTATGTTCATCAAATGAAAGATGGTAGAGTTCAATTTAGAAAAATTAAGCAGCCATTAAATAAAGATGGAATTTTAAGAAAGATTAAATTATATGAAGATAACATAGCAGAACTGAAGAAGAAATTAGAAGAAATGGATAAATCAGATTAGATATAAAATTTTATTTTTATATAAAATGAATTTTACTAATAAATTATTAATTATCGTTTCATTACTTCTCATCTCCCGTGAAGCTCGTTTATGATATGAATCTATAAAAGAGTTTGAAGACAGCAGCGATGACGTTCCTGAATCATGCCAGCATATTTACTGTTAAAATTCACAAGGTTAGAAATGAGGTTAGATATCGGGTTAGATCTACCCTAAGCCGCGTAGTGGCGAGATGGACTCAAAGAGCCCTCTAAATTAATTTTATCATTTATGAAAAATTTAGTATATACAGAAATTAAAAAATTTTTGAGTTAATTTATTTTAAAAAATTATTTTTACTCTGGGTGTTAAAATCTATGATAAAAAAAATAAATAAAAAAATTTTAACGTTAATTTTTTAAAGTTTATTTTTTCAAAAATTATTTTTTATTTTGAGTAGTGTCAAAAATTTTAACGTTAATTTTTAAGTTTATTTTTAAAAAATTATTTTTTTATTTTGTGAAGTGTCAAAAATTTTAACGTTAATTTTCAAGTTTATTTAAAAAAAATTATTTTTTTTTATTTTGTGAAGTGTCAAAAATTTTAACGTTAATTTTTAAGTTTATTTTTTAAAAAAAAATTATTTTTTTTTATTTTTGTAAATGTCAAAATATTTTACGTGTCAAACGGTTTTTTGCAGATTCTAGTAATTTGAGTACTAAGGGGCGTAGACCCTTGGTCCCCAATTACTAGATACTAACTCCTTATGAGGTATATATTCATACTGTATACCTCATAAGGAACAATTCCCTCCTTAAAACGAGAAAACTTGTTCGAAATGATAAACAATTTCGAACAAGTTTTCTCGTTTTTAATAAGAAACTAAAGGCTATGAGGCACTGATTATATATTAGTGCCTAACAGCCTTTAGTTTCTAATAGATAGCTGGGAAACTTTCTCCAAATGATAAGTTATTCAGAGAAAGTTTCCCAGCTATCAAGAGGGAATTGTTCCTTATGAGGTATATAGTTATATCATAAGACAAATTACGGAAAGTGAACTCAAACAAAAAGTGACACAATGCATTTGCCAACCAAATAACTTTACAAAGCAAAAACTTAAATTACTTGTCAAGCTTACTATTCTTATTTTAACAATTAAAAAATTAAATTTTATTTTTTATTTAAAAAAATCATCTTATATCATCTGATATATATATATCTTATTTAAAAAAATCATCTTTGTCTGAATGTTAAACTATTCGGACAAAGTTTCCCGCTGTTTGCGAAGGAATTGTTGGCTATGATGTACTGATTCATGATCAGTACATCATAGCCAACAATTCCTTATACAAAGTTCAAAAACTTGGGTGCAATCAGTTCTGATTGCACCCAAGTTTTTGAACTTTCTCGAGGGAATGAAAGGTAAGAGGTATACATTATGAATATATACCTCTTACCCTTCCATTCCCTCTCTGACAGCGGGAAACTTTGTCTGAATGTTAAACTATTCAGACAAAGTTTCCCGCTGTTTGCGAAGGAATTGTTGGCTATGATGTACTGATTCATGATCAGTGCATCATAGCCAACAATTCCTTATACAAAGTTCAAAAACTTGGGTGCAATCAGTTCTGATTGCACCCAAGTTTTTGAACTTTCTCGAGGGAATGAAAGGTAAGAGATATCCATTTCCTTTCACCTTCGTTCTCAATAATTAACTTATAAATTTTTTAAAGCAAAAAAAGTCTGATTTTTTTTGACAAGTAAATATATAGGGAATTTATCCGACCAAATAAGTGTCACTTTTTCGGTTCACCTCACTTTCCGTAACTCGTCTTACAACAGTTATAATGTATACCTCATAAGGAACAATTCCCTCATTAAAATCGTAGATATTTTTTACTTATTACTCATGCTTTCATATGACATGTGAATTAATGAAAACTGTCTGATTTTAGTTATAAAAAATTAAATTAAAGGAACCATCATGGAACTAGTTTGCTCTGCAATGCCAATTAATGAAGTTAATGTATTCCACATTTGATAAGCCGAGAACGATGTTAAGTTCTTATGAATATATTTGCATAATCTTCTAACTCCCTCTAGAGGTACAAAATAACTAGGCTGTAGAATAAATTAAATTGATCGCTATTCATTGCAGAGTTTTTCCATGAACTTTATGTTGAAAATTATTATGTGGAAGTTTAACGATTAATATGTTAAGAACATAGGATTTGGCTGCAAGTTATATCAAAAAAAGATGAAAAGAGCATTTGAATACGAAATATAGAAATTTATGACAAAACAAAAAGTAAATTTGTAAATAACAAATTAGTATAACATCTAGTTAGAATCATTCTTGGTTGATGAACTCATATTTTCAATCTCCTTTTTGGCTTCTTCGATTTGTAAAGAAAGAGTATCAATTTCTGTTAAAAATTGTGAACGTTTAACCACTTCAGCTTCGTATTGCGATGCAAGAGCTTCATATTCGTCAATTAGTTGCTGTGAGGGTCTTGGATTTTCCGTGGTTTCACTCATTTTATTCAAATATGTCACTTTTGCTTGTAACAATTTTAATGTCATTAGAAATTAATGTTTGTTATTTTTATGATATACGATCGATTTTTGATAAAATTTATTCCAGATTTTCAAAATATTTTGAAATATGAGTGCTGCAGACATTCAAACTGCTATAAAGGCATGTGAAGAGAGAAAAGTAGAACTGTTACAAACAGTTTGCCCTCAAATTGTCAATCCAAACACAGTATTACCAACTTTCGATAAAAACGGAATTAAAATAGTACGCCCTACTCTCTTACATATTGCATGCTTCAGCGGAGCTTATGATTGTGCAAAGCATTTAATACAGTATGATGCAAATATTAGCGCAAGTGACGCAGAAATTCTTTATTTTATAATGAAATTCTTTTAAAATTAATAGAACACCGCTTTATATTGCTGCATTAGCTGGGTACACGCAAATTGTGCATTTATTACTTGAACATAAAGCAGAACCAAATGTAAAAGATATTCATGGAATTCTTTTTAACTTTATTGGACACCTTTACATAGAGCAGCCTTATGGGGATATGTTGATATTGCAAAATTACTTATTGAGCATAATGCAAATATAAATGCTGTAGAAGAAGTTATACATACTTTTACTTCAATATTCTTTATAATCTTATTGGACTCCTCTTCATATTGCCGTTAAATGGAATAGACAACCGATGGTTGAATTATTATTGAGTTTTAATGCTAATGTGTCTGTTAAAAATGACGCAGGAAAAATGCCTCTGAATATATCAGAGAACTATCAGCTTTCTAAAATATCAAACTTGCTCAGAAAAGCCCAAGGTGAGCAAGCAATTCAAGCTGCAATTGCCTCTACAGAATAAAATTTATATGTTTATTTTAACACACAATACAAAAAATTAATACACTATCGTTGTTACGGTGTTCACACTTTATTATTCGATATTATCTTAAAATCTATAAAAATTTTTATGCTGATACCTATCAGTAGGGCACAATGATATATATCTATAATGTGGTTTGTCACAATCACTAATTACAAAACCATTTTTAAATTCACTAGCATATTATATAATATACTTGCTTTTGAGATAATAACATATGTGTGAATACTCATGTTTAACAATTTGGCAGCAACGATGCAATAAAAACGAGATATTATCGCTAAAATGAGAGTAATTTTTAAAATTGAATCTAACTTCTTTGTTAAAACTCATATTCAAGCAAGTCTATAATCATATCATCTATTTGAGACATGATAATTAAGTGTTTAATCTTTTATTTTTAAAAATTAAAAATTATATTTTGGAAATTAAGTCAAAAAGAATGAAAAATTTATTAGTCTATGTCCTCAATAATATTTAGTAAGAATTCTGCAAGATCTTCCCATCTCGGATTATCTTCTACGATAGATAACAGGAGATCTTCGTAAATTATGATTTCTTCCTTCGAAACATGGCCCTGACACATCAGTTCAATGATCATGATGATGGAGAGGCCACAATTTGTTGAATCTTCAAGCATATCAACACAAACTTGGAAAATTCTCTTAAACTGGCTTTCTTCACTGCATTTACTCATGAACACCTTGAATACAAACAAAGATCCGACTTTTACACGATGTGAAGTGTTTTCAACTGTTAAATGAAAGTTTAATAAGTCATTTCCAAGACTTTCCCACAAGAAACCTGCTTTTGCAACAATCAATGAACCAACATGTATTGTTCCATCGTTTAGATATACATGTTCTCTGATGTATTCTTCGATTTCTTTTGAATAGAAATCTTTTCTGAGATTGAGAATGAATTCGAACAGAGATGAAATGAGGACTTCATCGTTGATCGTCTTCAGATGGTCGAAGTTCTGAAAAATCATGTTTTGTATCCAAATTAAAGATGAATTCGATTTCGTGAACATTTTCGTAATTCCTGTGATCATTGTACCGATTGCAAGCTCATTATTGGAATTAATAATGAATTGGATGTATTCTGAGTAACTTTCATCGACAAAATTGATTGATCTTGCAAAAATAATTGCTTGGTACTCGACTGGGATTGTTTGGTAGTTTAATACTGTTTGGGCTAGGACCCTGCTATCTTCTTCTCCGATTTTTGAAATTTCATCAAGTAAATCGAATGATTCATTAGTAAGATTCGAAATAATTGCATCAATTTGAATGTCTGTAAGCTTGAAATCTATTCTTCTATGTGTATCAAAATACTTGTAAAGTTCGGCAAGAATTACATTTGAAACATTTCTTCGTGGAAAGTCATTCTCAAAATTATGTTGTACATGATAAAAGGAATAGCTGAGGTCGAGTTCTGGAGGAAATAATGGCTGAGAATGCGAAAATTGCTTCATTTGAATCTGAATCATCTTAGTTTGCGCATCAATGAGATATGCTGTAATTTAGCCGTTTTATCCTGCATAAATTAGTGTTACCCCACGCTTATCCTTGAAAATCAACTAATTTAGAATGAAATGAATTTATTGATGCGAATTATGCATTAATATTTTAAATATTGCCTTGTAAAACGTTTTTCTAGCATAATTCTTCTTTAATTTGCCCATAAATTTATAAAAAAGTTCAATTGAAGAATAGATTTTAAATCTTTATATTCTCTTTTGCTTTCATAAGTCGAAGGTGTCTCATTAATTGTCAATATGAACTAGTTTATCACAGTAATTCATCATTTTTCAATAAATGAATGATAACCAAGATGATCAAAGTTTTGCTGACTTTGTAAAAGATATCGAAAATTATAAAAATGTTGCAATAGAGAATAGCACATCAGAAGAAACGTATATTTCTATCATTGCACAACTTGAACAAGGAATAGACGTTTTAGAAAACCTCAAAGCTCTTCATGAACATATCAAACATCACAAACCATCGAATTTCATTATACAAAACTATAATTTGATAGATAATTTAATAAATATTGCTTCAGAATCAGATGATATTTATCAAGTCGTTTGCATGATATTAACATTTCTCACTTCATTAGATTATGAGAATATAGATACAAATACACTGATAGATTTCATTTTTTATCATCTTGAACCAAATAGTCCTTATATTAACTATTCTCTTTATTGTTTTTACAATCTAGAGATGTCACCATATACATCAGAACCTATTCACCAAAATGTCGACTTCAGTAGATTTTTTTCTTTAACAAGTTTAGATGAAAATACAGATGAAACGACAATTTCATTAATTTTACAAATTCTGCAAGGACATATCAACCAAGATTCAGACGTTTCGTTTGTTCAGGCTGTTCTTGAACTTGCAGTTCAATATTTGTACACAAATCGAAGTTATTTACAAGAAACCGCATTGCCACTGATACATTTAATAATTTACTTATTCCCAGATACAATGACAACGATTTATGATCAAAAACTTCGTGAAACTCTTTTATTGAATTTATATGACCTAAATCCAGTTATTCTGCGAACATCTGTTGATATTTTAGCTCATTTATACAAGATAGGTTTCAGATTCGAAGCCACTAAAGAAGAAGTTGGGAATTTCCTCTCATTATTTTATCATTCCAACATTGGAATAGTTAATTCAGTCATGAGCTTCACCCTTAAGATGCTTGTAGATAGTGATTTCATCATGGACATGCTTTTTGTTTATAAATGTTTTGATGAGTTTCAAGAGATTATCGAACACGGAAGTTTTGACCATCGCATGTATATCACTATGTTTATGGCCGAGATATTGATTAATACAGGCGATAAGTACTTCAGAAGGCTCATCAAAGAGAAAAGATTTATTTTTGTTTTTTCAATGCTTAGCTTTGAGAATCCCGCAGTAACTAATTACATAATCCCTGTTTTAGACCGTGTTTTCAACGAATTTTCCTTGTCTGGAAAATTAGATGAAATTATGGAAATTTTTTATGAAAACGACGGTCAAGAGTTTGTTGAAGAGTATTTTGAAACATTTTCTAATGATGAAGCCAAAATTGAAGAAATGAACTCATTTTTATTGCGTTATTCAATCAATATAAGCGAATAATACCAAATGTACTATTTCTTGTCTTGTTAATGTTTTGTTTTTTAATAAAATTGTTTTGTTTGTTTAAATTTTACACTTCATTTTTAGGAAGCTGTGTTTCTATAGTAATGATGTTGCTGAACAAGCAATTTAACTAAGGATACATTGAAGAAATCTTAGAAATGAGGAAAATATGATTTATTCGCATATCGAAAGACTACTATATGCGTTATATTAAATGCTAATGATTTTTTTGCAAAGTAATGTATATATATTCTTCCAAGGTTTTTTCAAACGCATTGAAAGAGAGGGATAAAAAAAAATTATATTGTTTGACTAAAATCGATAAAAATTGAAAATTTATAAAAATAATATATAACTATTCAGCTGTTGGCTTTGGAGCTTCTTCAGGAGAAGTTTGATTTTCTGTATTTTCTTGATTTGGAGTTGACGATGATTGAGGAGCTTTGTTTGCTGTATTTTGTTGGTTTTGAGTAGCAACTGCCTGAATTGCAGCTTGCATTTCAGGAGTTAATGGAGTCCATTTCTTAATATGGCATAAAACATAAGTAAATAGATCTTCTGGTGCTTCGAGATGTGTAAAATCAGAACCATGCTTCATTAATGCTTGTTTTACTCCTCCAAGCGTTAATGAAGGCAAAAATCTTGGAGTAAAGCTTAAACGGCGATCTAAAGGTTCAATGGACATGATTGCTTGTGGTGGTATATGTAAATATAGTGGTGGTGTCATTGCCATACGTAATTGAATTCGATGAGCAGCCTCTGACATTCCAAGGGTATCTAACTCCTTTTTAACAAACTTCATTGATTCTAATTCTGGAATAGATTGATCAACTTCATTTAATTCTTTCTTTAGATCAGATTTCGCAACGAGAGGGCCAGTAACTGCAAATAGTGATAGTTTTCTAGGAACAAACATATCGTTTCTTGTATATGAGTTAATCAATGTGCAAGAAAGGCATTTTGCTGCGAAATTGATGGTATTTTGCAACTGTAAAGCCAAAAATCCGCCAGAGTCTACACCAATGTAATGCACACTTGTTACTCCCAGATATTTGAAGAATTGATCAAATGTATCAATGCATGCTTCGTAAGTATCGTGATTATTTGTTGTAACAGAAACAAAGCGATATCCAGCTTGCTCAAACAAAGGAGCAATTCTATAGCATGAAGCTTCTGTTTCGTATATGCTTGGAAGGAAAATAATTGCTTCTTGTTTCTTTCTATCACCAAGTTGTCTAAATTTAAGTATATAATCTAATTTGTTATTCTTAAAAGTTTGCATTGGCATTTTAATAGATGTTTCAATAAAATTGGAACTGTTATAATGCTCATCTCCGCTGAAATGAGTACTCATTTTTCAATAAAATATTGAAAAGTGACGGAATTATGTCATTTCTTAAAAAATGACGTTGAAATATGAATCTTACACGTTATCAAAAAAATATATAAAACGTAAAAAGTTTTGTCACTTTTAGGATTTCATGTGGATCTGTTATTTCAAACTCAAACTGATAATATAAAAATTCGCAGTTAAATGTATGTTTAAATTTCAGCTATTCAGCTTGAACTCTTTGTGATTATTAATAATTTTTATATAAATATGTTTAGGCAAGATGTGTGGGTTTAGGATTGGATTATATGGGTGGAAAACAGTAAAAATATAGCTAAAATTTTATAAAATAATAAATTTACAAAATATGAGTAAGATAATATAATTATGGCATTTCGGTGCAATAATCATTAATCTTCATGTACTCAGAATTCAAGAATTCGGAGAATTTAACCAAAGTTTGGTTTTGTAAAAGGGATAATTTGACAATTTCACCATTGAAAACAAATCTAACGTAGTGCTCGTTGTTTGAATCATCCCAGATTTCCATGAGAAGGTGAGAAGCGTAAGGAGGAATGAAATCTGAATTTGGAGCTCTTACATTGACTTGTCCTGCAAGATACTGATAAATTGCAGCAACTGTAGAGTCGTGGGCTGAGTTTACTGTGAATTTGTAGGTATTATTTCCAGCAAGGGCAGCGTTTGCGATATTAAGGATTTCTCTCATTGTATAAGAAGCGTAGACGAATGGATTCTTGCTGTATCTATCGTAGAGATTAAATCCGAGAGCTTTTCTGCATGTGTTAATTGTTTCATCGGTTATTTCTGGAGAAATTTGCTTTCCATCACAGAAATGAGTGGCAATGTAATCGCAGATGAGATTCAAATTATCTCCTGATTGCTCAACTTTAATCTTTTCTGCAAAATCTGCAACGGCTGGCCAATTATCGGCAACAAATTTCTTGTAATCTTCGGAGGCTGCCCAAACTGTTGACTCGTTTTCCATGTCCTTGCAAAAGTTGCCTGGTCTAAGGAGTGAATATTCATCGGAACCTGTTTCAATGGTTAATGTGGTATTTGGCTGTCCTGGAGGATAGAATCCGTGTAAGAATGATTGTGCTGAGCGTAATGTTCTTTCGATGTTGCTGCAACGGGCATGGATTTCTTCGTCCTTTGGATATTGATCAAATAAGCCAATACTATCAAAGTAATCAGCATACATTTCACCAAGACGCTTGTGTTGTTCCATACCTTCAAGTAATAAATCTCCTGTGCGGCAGTTTGGTAAAAATGCAACTAATCTTGGATCAAGAACGTGTTTGAAACGTCTGTAATCAGATCTCTGAGCTCCATGCATTCTTGGAGCAATAGCATCATCACTATCGCATGTCCAATAACCACGGTGGTTCATTGGTAAGAGAGCATTTAAAGGAGCTCTTGCACCATGCCTTAAAAGTACTTGTGCATATCTAATTTTCATATTATTAACTGGTTCTGGTGTTATTCTTGGTGCAACACATTGTGAATCAGTTGATATACTTGAGAACAGAAAGAAAGAAAGCATTTTTTAGAAATTTTTGGCACTTTTGGATCTTCCTTATTGATAGAAATTGCCTTTTTTTTATTAAAATTGAATATAATTCTTTGAGTTATGTTGAGATATCACCAAAATAGTTGTAGATTTCTTGTATTCAGAACTAATTTCCTCTATTTTGGTCGAATTTTGTTTCCTATAGGATATATTGCATGAGCTGAGTATTTTTGAATCCCTTTATCTCTCTCAGAAATTCCAAAAAAATTCAAAAAATAAAAAATAAGGACAAAGAATTAGATTTTTTACCTAAAAAAACAGATTTTGAAAAAAATTTGGAAAAGCAATATATCTTATAATTTAGTGAAATACATTTTTATAACAAAATTAAGCAAAGATACCTTCATTATTTTGATTTTAAAATTTTATTTTTATATTCTTCAAATTACATCGAAGATATTTCCAATTCAATTATCATAAGTGAAGTTTTTGAGGTATAATGTCTTATTAATTAAAGATAAGATAATAAATCCTTTATTTTAACTACAACAAGTAAACAGATAATAGTAATCTTAACGCATGAATGGGATATTGTCAATAATCATATAAAAATGATTGAATTATCTTGTTAATTGAGTTTCCTCTTAAAACGACTAAATATTATGATAACATTATTCATTTTGACATACTTGTTTGACTCCCTAGTTAAACAAGATGTGAATAAAGAATATATTTTGTATGGAATTACTATGATCTAAATTTCTGGATAATAATTTTCTGCTAAATAAACTTGATGGAATGCTGAACTCAGCCTAAGCTTTGTATACATTGGGTTAAAAAGTTCGTCACTGTATTACTCCTCTCCTTTTATCTGTGAATTAATATTTTTGTGATTTTTGTCACTTTTTATTGCAAAAAGTTTCTTCTGTGCCAAATTATTATAATTTTTATTAATTTGTACCATATGTATAACTACAATTTCATTATTCAGAGTCCCTTTCATTTTTGTTCATGGAAGAAGAAAATTGGTCTAAGTGTTTCGAAATAATGAAAAATTTGCTTGAAGCACCATGCACAGGTCCATTCAGGCTTATTAAAGAAGAAACCATTCCGCATTATACAGAGTTAATTAAAAACCCACAAGATTTATACAGAATTTATCATCGCCTTGAAAAGCGTGAATACCAATCTACAAAAAGATGGAAAGAGGAGGTTAATTTAGTCTGGGATAATGCTATTAAATTTAACGGAGAGAATGATTATGGCAAACTTGCCCATTACGCAAAGCTTTATTTTAAGAAATTATACGATGAGAAATTCGCTCGTATCGAGAAGATAGCAGAAAGAGCTGCCGAATTAGAAAGGAAAATTGATTCTTTATTATCAGATCCACCAAGGAATTTCCCTGCTCTTAGAACATTATTTTCTCTCAAGCCTAAATCAGAAACAAGACAAAATGATCTTATTAATGAAATCTTCCATAATATTATTCGTTTTACAGATGCTGATTCACAGAGAAAGATGTTTACTCTGCTGAGAATGTACAATCCGGAATTGGGAGACAATCCTATTGTTTCAGAGAAAAATCCTGATCTTCGTGTTACAGTAAGCTTAGATTCGCTTCCAATCAAAACACTGGAAGCACTGAAAGAGTTTATTTCAAATAATATGTCACAGTAATCTCATATCTTATCTTTTTTACTGTATATTGTTAAAATTATAAATTTGTTTAGTAATACATCATTTATTAACCATTTGATAGCTAAAACTGTAGACTATTTTTAAATATTTTTCATATGTATGTTAATTTCAAAAGAAAATACAAACAAATTTTTATTATTCGACTTTTCCAAGAGGAAAAGTTAATCTAACTGTTAACAAAGCAGATAAAAATGATATTGCAGAACCAGATACTGAAATTCCGCATGAAGCAGCAAATAATAATGCAATAAAACAAGTTTTTTGAGATTTCGTGATAAAATCGTTGGAAAAAACTGTTGAAGATGACATAATTAAGAACACCATTCCTGGTATTATACCTAAAATTGCAACTCTCCAGTGCCATTTGAAGCAATTATTATGGAAAAGAAGAGGGATTGAAAAACTTCCAATAAGAGTCATAACAGAGAAGAACATTGCTACGTAAATTGCCAACAATTTAAAGAAACTGGAGAATTGATTTTCAGAATAAGCTAAACAAAACATTTTGAACTCTTTTTTCAATAATATATATACAACTACTGTAACAATAGTAGCAATGAAGTAACTTTGAAGTAGCATTGGGTCTTCTTTGGACAAATTAATTTTACTTTGGTTTGGAGTGTTTATCATTCTGAATGGATAAAGAATTGAGCATAGATATGCTCCAAACATTGTTAGTGGCGTATAAAATACAAGTAATAACTCAAATAAAATCGGAATTGAAAAAAGTGAATTTGAAGACATTTCTTTTTGGAAAAGCGCAGGGAAATTGTATATAACGACTGTTACAAACGATACAATGGATCCAAATATAATATGAAGGGTAGAAATAAATTTCCAATCTCTATTATCAAAAATAGCAGAAATAAAGATACTACAGAATCCAGAAAAATGAGATAGAGCTATTAGTGATCCAATAAATGTGAAGAACACAGGAATTCCATTTGAATAAAACTTATCAGTGAATGAAACAAATGAAAACACAATAGTCGACAATAAAACATGGATTCCATTGCCTGATATAGCAGATAATATTGCATTGTTCTTTGGACTGGAAGAAGCCTCTCTACAAACCATACTTGCAAATCCGTCGTCTTCTTCTGGCTCAAATAAGCTGTCTTGGTTCTGCTTTTCACTTTTTATTCTATACTTACTCCTCAAGTAGAAAACATTCGCTAAAAGTCCAAATAAAGCTAAAACTAGAGAAATTATTCCAAAAATTAATTTTGATTTCACATTGTATTTTAATGGTGCTGGAAATTCATTTTGAGATCTTTTATATGACGATGTCCATTTTGCGCTGTAAGAGAAAGTAATATTGTTATTTTCTTGGATTCGAATAGGATTTGAGGCCGTTGCATTACAATTTATCAAAAAGTTGTTATATTCATATAAGTCAAATGCAGTATGAGTGTAAATAAATGTTTCATCGTCGTGGACAAAACCAATTGGAACCCAAAAGGCATAATCTTCAATAACATATTCATAAAAGTAATTGCTATGTATAAGTTCGATATATTTATTAATATCTTCATCAAAAAATGATGATTTGCAATAAATTTTTGGTTTTAAATCAATATCAAATTCAATATTCATGAGTGTCTCTGTGTAAGTCGTATTTGAAAACACATCGAATATGTTTTGGTCTTTTGAAATTGCAATGAGTTCATCTACCGAGCAATTATTATGAAATATTGGATCCAAATCTGGATATTCAGGCGAACTTGATACTATCCTTGTTGAGTATACTCGTAATGTATCAAAATCTGCTTTATAAATTGATGAAACTGAAAGTCGAAAAAACAAAAACATTGAAAAGTGACAAAGATTTTGGGAATATTTTCTTTACTTTATTTTTAAACGTACAGTATGTCTGAAGGTTATTGCCTTCCTGTAAAGCAATTATGGTTTGATTCAACAAAAAGAACTATCGCGAAGTATGAACAGAAGAAAAAGACAACAGATGACAGAAGAAAAATGATAGCTTCATGGGGAAAGCGTCATAATGATTCTGATACAGATATTTCAACAACAAACGGTAGTTTTGGATCATTACGCTTATCTCCTGTTTAAAACAAATAAGTTTACTGTAATCCTACTACGAGAAATGAATATTTTCTTAATTGAAAATACGAATTTTTATAGTTTTACCAAAATTGATTGATTTTAGCCTAGTCTACCAAAACAAATTGTTTTATCATACGTAAAATTTAAAGTTTATCTAAAAATATTTGAATATTATATAATTATGCTAAAAAAGTAACAAATAGTTTTATTCAAGCTTAGTTTGTTCTGATTTGGAGAATAACCCCTTGACAATAGCAATAATGAAACTAATAACGATACCAACACAAAGTAATGAGACAGCCAGTCTATATTTAGGATTAAAGTCCATCTTTTCTGGTAGTGGATCAAGTTCTTCGAACATTTCTCTATCATAATCACCTAAAACGAAATCTTCTAAAAATTTTGAGAAATTAGTAACATCATCCATAAAACGGGTTCTTATAGAATATTTCTTCATCTGCTTGCTAAATAACAATAATGCTGGGACATCAACATTCGCGAGTGAATTTCCAGAAAAATTGAAGAATAAATTGAATTCGTTAACATCCATCAATGGAACAAAGGCTTCTCCAACTGCTTCATCGGCGGCTTTACCTAAATCATAAATCGAGGATAAGTTGTCTGGATGGTAAATAATGTAGGCTACACGTCTTGTAGATGATTTACTGGCATTGATAGAGTAGTCTGAAAGCTGTCTTTTGGAATACTCAAATATGAAATCACGAACTTGAGATTTTGATCTTTTTCCAGTATATGGAATCTCTTTATTTTTATTAACTTGAAGACGAAGAGATTCCTTGTTTATTTGAACGTAACCATATTTGTATGGATCTTGAACATTATCTAATACTTGGGTGAGCTCGTCACATATTTCACTTTGAGTCTTCCCTTCTCTTCCATAAATAACTGCTGGGTAGCTAACAATTTCATCTGGAAATATTCTACATAAAATCTTTTCAGATTTAATTTCATCTTGTATCATTTTATCAAAATCAGTTGAGTTTCTTGGTTCTATTCCTTTTGGATAACCGCGTTGTATCATTGTAAGATACGGGAAAAGTTTGATATTATATTTTGAACAAAATTCATCTTGAAATTGGCATGCTATCTCTGAAAATATCACTGTATCGTCATTTGCATATTTACGAGTAATGGGTTCCCAAATATCTGAATATTGGCCTTTATTTTTATTCATATTTGTAAATAGAGCAAAGTATGGTGTCCTGAAGGACTCGTCAAACTCGCTCTGTGAGTATTCAAACTTTTTCATTATGTTCACTATGAAAAGAATCAGCATTTATTTTTTTATAAAAAAAAATTTTTTTTTTCAATGTTATCTTTGATTGGAATTCTTCAATTTGCTTATAATATTAATACAAGCGAGTATGAAGATGTTAACCTATATGATGTTTTAAATGTTAACAAGTATGCAACAGAGAAAGAAATCACAAAGTCATACAAAAGATTATTAATTCAAAATAACAGAAATAGAAATCCAACAGAAAGAGCCAAAAAGGTTTGGCGTCAAACTGAATTCGCTCATGATATATTATCGAACCCAAGTTCTCGTAAACTATACGATTCATTCGGAAATGTAATTTTAAATCATACTAACTTTTCAGTATTTGCATATAGAAGTGATATAGAATTAGCAGAAATCAAGAAAATGTATCGCGGAGGCCAGTCACCTTCCTTCCCTGGCGTAGTTATTTTCCCAGTTCAATTCGATTTAATAGATTTTATGAATGGTGCCACAAAGAATATTAAAATTATGAGGACAGTTCCATGCACATGCAAGAAAGGAGGACAGCGTTGCCCAAAGTGCAGGAAAAATCCATTCCAACAAATGCTAGTAGTTGAAAAGCTTTTCTTGCCAAAAGGAGCTAGCGACAAGTTTAGAATGTACTATCCAGAACTTGTTGATTCACCAATTGATCGTGGCTGCCATGAAATTATATTTGTTGCATATCTAAGAGAAGATGGAGTATTCAAACGAGATGGCGTTCATATACGTAGAAATATTACTATTTCCCTACCAGAAATACTTAATGGAGGAAATTACACTTTTGAAAATCCTGATGGAGAGGAAATTAGCATTCCTCTTGATGGAGTCCAACATAGAGAAGAAAGAAGAATAAAAGGAAAAGGTATTCCGTACTTTGACGATCCAAAAACTCGTGGTGATGTTATTGTTACTTTCTTCATTGACTTCCCAACAAAACTTGATGAAGAACAAAAGAAAATTGTTAGAACAAACCTTCCAGATGATTTTGGAAGCTATGCTTAAGCATATTAAAGCTATTCTGTATTATACAATTCAAATGCAATAATTTTTCATATCATATAATTATAGCATCTATTTGGTAAAATAATTCTATTAAAATGTACTCATAACTAAGCAAAATCAAATATTGTTTATATAAAACAATACTAATAATTAAAATAGATGTTATATATGTATCAAAATAGAAAACTTCTTGATAAGTTACTTACAATCATGAGTAGTTTTATGAAAATAAACAAAATAAAGAAAATTCAGTTAAAATGACAAAGGTTCATCATTAAGAATCATCAATCCTTCGCGGATAGTATCTAAATTAGCTAGATCTGAAGGATCAAATGGATCAATTCCTAAAGCTTCTTTCTTAAGATTTAATGAGTTAATAAGTTCGGATATTGATGGTTGTTTCACACTACAGTAGTTATCAATCATCAATATTGCATGTAAAACTTCTTTGGTTACAATTTGAGATCCAAGGTCTAAGAAATTGACCATTAGTTCGAAAAATCCTTTATCTACTATAAATGGGTGAAAAACATATTGTGTTTGGAATGACAACGCTTGAAGTAAAGCAATAGCTGAGTATCGCTTCAATTGGAAAGTACCGTTATCGTACCAAATAAATAATTGCTCCATCACTCCATCATCAAGGGCTGATTGTATCAACTCATGTGTACATTCTTCATTTCTGAGTAAAGCGCACAACATTCGTACAGAGCTAAGAATTAAATCTTCATTTTCGGAATCAGCAACTCCACCAAAGAAATCAAGAGTAAGGCCTGAAATAACTGACATAGAAGTACATGTATCATCAGTTAGTAGGATAGTATTAATGAGATCAAGAATCGATATTTTTACCTCATCGGAATAAGTTTCAAAATTGGGGAGAATTTCTGCGGGACTAAAAAGTTCGCATAAAACAAACGCGCAATTTTCGCTACATTCTGCAAAAACTGAAGCAATATAAACTCTTTTTTCGAAATTGGGAGCTGATGGATCTGAAAATAAATCTATAAATAGATCGGTTACAGACGATATGTGCTCATAGTCTGGGTGTGGAATTGTATGTAATAGACTCCAAATGCAAAGAAGAATTTCATCACGTAGCTTTTCATTATCGCAATTGGCAAATAGAGATACAAGGTTTTTAAAGATATCTAGTTCTTCTATTAATTTAATTTTCAAAAGAGGTTGAATTATAAGCAATCGGTTCAAAAGGTTTAACGAAAGATATATGCAGGAGATTGGAGTATTATTTATAAAGATAAATTGTGTAAGATAAACAGAAAATTCTTCTTTTGTTAAAATACCTACTTTCTGTTCCCATTTATGGGTCCAAACTATGAATATTCTTAGAACAGCATGTAACAAATTCTCTTCATTTGAATTTTGAAAGATGGAAACCAATATTTGTAAAAAATTCATTTGCTCGAAAGAAATGACCGATAATGAGTTATTTTTAATAAGATTTTCTGATAATTGGATTATGGAATTTGTGTCAATATTGTTTTTTTCGTAAGAATTGACAATATTATTGGCCAATGTTATGATGACATCTGAAGAGATTTCATCAGAATCACTACTTTCATGCCGCAGGCTATTAAAAAGCCTTTCTTGCCTATTGTAAGAAGCCAGGGCCCATTCTTGTTGAAATCCTTTCATAACATTCATATACACGTTTAGAATATTGAGTGATAAATTTAAAAACAATATGGTTCAAGTTTGATCCATGGATAATAATCAATCAGAGAATATCTTTAATTTAAACTCTGCAAATCCAGGAAAGTCAAAATTTTCGAAAAAATTATTCTGTAAAATCATCATAATTTGTAATAATTCACTGTAATTTCATATGAATGAGTTTAATATTCAAACATCATTGCTATTGTTTAAAAGAGAATCCTGGTGAAGCATTTTGAAACAAGGATGCAAAAGAAGTAGTAAAAATAGAAAAAATCGCGCCGTCCAGGACTTGAACCTGGACTCTACTGCTCCGTAGGCAGTCGCCTTATCCAATTGGGCCAACGGCGCTTCACGAAATAGCTCATATTTTTAAATATAAGATATTTTATTAATGTAATTTGTGATAATTTATTCTTGATATATCTCAGGTTACATATTATTTATGAAATTTAACTCATAATAATTCATTTATCCCATATTCGCATCATTATTGAAATCGCTTACATAAAGCTCCAAAATTCTTTTGAATCAATCATGAAATAATACTTTTTTCATTCATCTTCCTCCTCACTACACTACCAACTTCATATAAATTCTATCCCGAATTTCCTAGCCTTTTAAATTCATATATTTGATCATTGCACATAATCTTTCGATTGCTGGATTTAATCTTTACTGCAATACTGAGAATTTTCCCTGCACCTTTTCTTATTTCCAGGGCTGATTTAATCCAAATCTTTATTGATGTAACTTCATGCGTTTTCCAATTGAAAAGACGTTTAATTGATTTTGACAGGATAGATGAGTACACGCGACCCAGTTTTCTATCCTTTGGAAACAATGTACAGAATTGGCAGTGGTGACTATCACCACCTGCACTACGATTTTTCATATATTCCATTCGATCAATATACGAGATTCTTCAATTCGTTACCAAATATTCTTTACAAGAAAACAGAAAACGTTAGATTATCATGCGACTTTGAGTTCAAGTATTCTGAAAAACAGAAAATTGATCACAAGAGAAATCCTAAGAAAGAACAATATATCGAAGATTCGATTGCTGGAATCAAGCCAAGATTTGTTCCATACTTAATAAAGATTTTATCACGTGTTTTACCAAGAACAAGAACACTTACAAATCTCCATATCTCTTCTATGAGAATTAAGCCAGAATATCTCGAAACTTTAGTTGATGCAATCGCTTCATGCAAGACACTGAAGTCATTGCACTTTTCAAATACCGAACTTCCACCGAAAATTGTCATAGCTCTATTAAACCGAATTTCACCATATCAATACGTGAAACTTTCATTCAAAAACTGCGGACTTACAAGCCATTCATATCCAGCATTCGAAAATTTCTTACGTAGACCACCTACATCATCGACAGACGTCAAAACCATTCGTCAAATCACAATTATTGGCTCTCAAATGACAGAAATCGAGTTGGATAATATAGATTACCTTCTCAATCCAGATGATGAGGAAGAGGAATACATGGATGAAGAGGAAGAAGATCAGGATATCAGAACTACACTCACACAGACAATGGAAGGCCAAGTTTCAGAAGACTCTTCAGAGCATGAAGCTCCAAAGCCTTCTCAGCAACCAAAGTCTTCAGAAAAGAAACAATCTTCTCCGTCATCAAAAGAAGAAGGCAAACCAGCTGAACAACCAGCGAAACCAAACGCTCAGGATGAATATGAATACGAGAAAGATGAACCAGCAGCTGCTTCGCCAAAACAAAATGTTAATAATTCTGCTCAGAAAGAAAAAGCTGAAGCTAGCCAACAAAAGAAGCCTTCTCCAAAACAAGCTCAACCAGAACCAGAGCCAGAGTACGAATATGATGAAGAAGAGGAAATTGCAGTTGTTTCTAAACCTCAGCTACAAGCTTCTCAAAAGAAGACACCTCCACAGAAACAGCCCGAGCCACAGCAAGAATATGAGTATGAAGAGGATGAGCCACAGAAACCTCAACCACAGAATAACACTAATTCTCAGCAAAAGGCACCAGAACCACAGTATGAATACGAATACGAAGAGGATGAACCACAACAAGCTCAGCCAAGCCAACCACAGCCAAAACAGAATCAGCCTCAACCAGAATACGAATATGAGTATGAAGAAGATGAAGCTCAGCAGCCACCACCAAAGCAGCAGACACCTAAACCTCAACAGCAGTTAGAATCAGATTACGAAGAAGAGGAAGAAGATCTTGAACCAGCTCCAAAGCAAAATAACCAAAATCCGAAACAGAATCAACCACCTGCAAACGATGACTACGAATATGTAGAAGAAGAGGAAGAGGAAAAGGTTGAACAGAAGCCAAAACAACCAACAGGAAGAGTAGCACCTCCAAATTTAGTAGATGATGAAACAGAATACAAATACGAAGAGGAAGAAGATGCTCCTCCTGCCAATAATCCTCCGAAGCAGGCAAAACCTCAGCAACAATTAGACGAATACGAGTATGTTGAAGAGGAAGAAGAGGAAGAAATCGAAAAACCTGTTCCAATGAAGCCACCGGCTAAGCAGGCCCCGCAAGAACCTGAATACGAGTACGAATATGAAGAGGAAGATGCATAAGGTTATTCACACTATTTAATTTTTGTGAAATTGTATGATATTTCAAATTTATGATAATATTTTTAAAATTATTTTTTGAATTGATTTGTTTTACCTATTTATATCAAATTCACTCTAACAATGTTCTTATTTTTTATGAATCAAGAATAGTTCTATCAAATTTGTAAAATTTTCCACATGAAATCTATAAAATATTAAGCAACTCATTGCAAAATGCCAGCTTTACCTGAACATTTGTCATTTTATCATTTTGTTTTTCTTGTTTTATGGAGATTGTTGAATATTTGAACGTTTTAATTCAACAAAAAGCCGACGATCAGTATACAGAGGCAGATAACTATGTAAAAATGTGGACAGAAGATCCAGACAACATAAAAAATTGCATCGATTTAATCAAAGAACCAAATAATTCGAATATTTTACAATTATTGCTTGGAACACTATTCACATTGCTTAAAAAACTATTCCTGGATATACAAAATGACATTAGCGATATAATAAATTTAATATGTCCTCTATTTCAACAAGAAACTATACAAAACAATCAGTCAAATTGGTTATTTCTTATTGATATTCTTGCCTACCTAATTTTGAACTGCAAAGATCGTTTTCCTGATATTATTGAATTTATTGACAGCTATAACTGCAGATACTTATTTTTGAAATCATATATAGATCAAATGAATATAAATACTTTAAATCATCGTCCAATTGATGCTCAAATCATGGTAATACAAAATCAAGAATTATTCTTGTCTACATGCGCTTCAGAACCTAACAATCCGAACTTTCTTAGCTTTATTTCAAATCTTGTATCAGGTTTACACGAAAGCAAATCTTTGGAGTATTTATATCCTTATCACGATTTAATTTGCGCAAATTTAATAAATCCTCAAAATTCTAAAGGCGCTTTTGAACTTCTATTTGAGATAGTGAATAATTTCGAGGAATGTGATGATAAAGAGTTCGTTGCATCGATTTTTATTACAGTAATTGGAGAATTAAATAATCAAATTAATAATCCAGAATATCAAGAGCACATTCTTCAAGTATGGTCAGGATTTCTTCAACCAAGCATATTTATTGAACCAAGTGTTGATTTTTTAAAGGTAATTCTCCAATATTTTCAAGAACATATTAATATTTTAGAAAAACCTACAGAAGACTTTGCAAGTTCAATAGAATCATTCACTTACTCATTTACAGGCATCATGGACAATGATCTTGAAAATTTATTCCCTTTTATTGAGTTTTGGATTACTTTTTTAGGAGAAATTGTAAATTCAAATTCTGAGATTTCTATTTGCGAACAAATCTCCAATTCTATACGTGAAACTATAGAAGCAGCACCAGATATTACTATAGAGTACTTAAATAATGCAAGTATTGATGCTGCTTCGTTATATATACTTGCAATTTGGCATGAAATACATCCAGATGATACAAAAGAATTTGTGAATCAAACTGCAAAAAATTTGTTAAGTTTACAAGAAAAACCGTTTACTATATTTTATTTCATGTCGAAGTGCGTGAGTGATATTAACGAATACCTTGACCAGTACCTAGAAATGACCCTCAAATTGATGGAAAGCGAACAAAATAATCAAATTCTTTCTGCAAAAATTATATTTGAGATTTCAAAGAATTCTCCAGAATTAATCATCCAATATATGAATGATATATTGGGAATGATGGATAGATCTAACCCGTCATTCTATATATTATGTAAGGCTGTATTTTATGCTTTGAATTTGATAGAAAATGAAAATGATATTTCTCAAATTTTTGAAAAATTAATTTCGTCACTTTTGGAGAATTTTAGAATAATTTCTGAATCAGAAACAAAAGTTTGCCAGATGCTTATTTACTTTGCTGATATTATTGGATGGTATTCAGGAGAACCAACCGAATTTATCAATAGTTTGTGGAAAAATTTTTCTCAGGAAGTTGTTAATTTGATCGGTCAAAAATATGAAGAAAAAGAAAATATTTTTCATGACTTCGCAGTATTTCTTATTAATGCAATAGACCATAAAAGATTCTTTGACATGAACTATGCACTTGCTTTCGCTTTAAATTATGCAAAAAGTGAAAATAACAGAGTGAAATCAATGTCATTTAATATACTCAAAATGTTTATTCCTTACTATCCAATTGAAGACGTTTTTAATTTCTTCAACCAAATTGACTTCCAAAATGATATTTTTAGTGTAACTTTTTTGGCAGTTCATTTATGTGATGTTGTCAAAGAGAAGGGAAGTGAGTTTTTCAACTGGTTCCCAACAGATATGATTATTGCAATGCTAGCTGTTAAAAATCCTGGAGTTGTAATGAGAGTTTTAGAACTCACAAAACTAATTATTCAATATTTGGATCCAGCAACTTGTGCAAATATTTTGAGCGCAGTTTTTCAAGGATTTTTAAACTTTTATGAGCCAGCAGCTATGGATCCAACAGCACAAATCATATCAGAAATATATCAGAGTGAAAAATTATCACCGTCAGATGTCTGTCAGATTTTTGGAGGTGTCAAATTTGACAACGAAAATTTAAACGAAATCGAAAATATTTTAGGCAACGTAAACTTTAATACCCTAGATTTGGTCAACCAGATGAAAGCTTATTGTCGTAAAAAAAACCCCAATGTGTTAATCTTGCGCCATTCCACAAAATAATTTAATTTTAATATTATTTTACAGAAAAATAAAAGATTTTGTTTAGTATTAATGGTAAATTATATATTTTGTCATGCATATATTTATAATATGTAAACAGATATAACTCAAATCTGAATTTGGCAGAAATGCAAATTTTGATATTTTTACGGTGGGAAAAAATTATATGATATTTGAGTGCAGCGATCATTTTGTTGTAGCTTTCACATATAATTTCGTACATTTTCAGCGTCGAACGTTTTATTCGGTTGATTTTCATTCAAAATTAAATTGAGTCTGTCAAATCGCAAATTGAGAATGTCAAAATTCTGATTCAATATCAGATGTTAATTTTCTGTATACATGGCACGGCGGGCGCAAAAAGTGACAAAATAGAATACCTATGGTGGCAAGACAAAGGAAACATTTTTGTAAGGCAAACATTATATCAAATACCTTTACTTTGTAATAAGAAATATAATTATCACGAAATTACAAATAAATATTGTTTAATATAATTAATAGCAAAATTCTTTTCTATTATTTCCCTTAAGACCTTACTTATTAAGTATACGTATAACAAGCTTGTACTGCATGTATTAGTTAATAGAACAAAAGAAAATGAGCTCAAATGAAAAAATTTTCATGCTATTTTGGAAATATGCATATTCGAAGTATGAGAGTTGTAAACACTGAGAATTTTAAGCTTTGGTTGATGATAGTCTTTAATTTTTCTTGAAGTAGTAAATTATTTGATATGAAAATTTAATGGCCAGCATAATCAATCGTGCATTTCGTTTCTTGATTGAGAAACGATGATTGTGTGCTAATGAATTATTGCGTCTGACAGGTTATGATTATGGATACCTGAAATTAAGCTTTTATGGGAAACATCACCGAGCGCCATTTGGCGCCCCTAATGCTGTTTCTATCGGTATGATTAAGGAGCTTTCTTATGCACTTTCATCACTTGAACTTGAACGCTACAAGATATATGCCCCCCTCCCAATGGGAGGTGGGAGCAAAAATTGAAATGTTTACATTGATTTTTGAATACTTTACAAGCGCCCCTCCCAGTGGGCGCGGGCGCAAGTGATCGGGTCAAAAAAAATCATAAAAATATTCAAAATTGCGATTTTAATAAATGTTTAAGAAGTAAATTTATTAATAACGATATTTCATAGTACAAAATGTGTTCAATCTCTTCGTAAATCATTCAAAAAAATCAAAAGAATTTCCAAAATTCAATTTTTTTAGTAAAATTTATATCTTTTTCTATCGTCTCCTCCCCACCAGTGGGAGCCACCGGAGGCGCGGGCGGCGCCGCTGGCGCCAAAAAAGTAGCGCCCATCGTGCCATGTATAATTTTCTGGAAGCTCATCAAGTACTTTGAAAACAATATTTTATATGAATGTCAGAAATAAATATGGAATCAAAAGTGACTGACAAAGTAGAAGAAATAAAAAAATTGTATGAGAACTAGTGTTGCCAAAGAATATCAGATAAGCATTCCTCGTTCTATGGCCTCAAAGAAAAAACAGACTGCACAGAGATCAGCTAGAATCTCTAATTTACCAATAGATATTTTGAACAAAGTTCATGACAAGCAAAATATCATTAATTCAATACAATTCGATCCTCCACACTTTTCTCCATCAAGTGTACCAGTATCAATTTGTAATTCTCCACAAAGTTCAAACCAAAATATAAATGAACACGAATCAAACGAAAAACCAACGTTTATGAATTACTTTGAACAAATACCAAAGATGAATTCAAATACAATCATCATAAATGATATGCCGAAGGATATTAATGAAGTGATAAGGGTCATTATTGATTTTGTAATTTAATCGTCGTCGTTATCGATTTTGTAATTTAATCGTTATCGTCTTTTTCTAAACGTGCATTTTTTGCTTTCGGAGCTATTGAACATACATTGGCCCTTACCAGCAATTGAAAACTATTTTTCATTATCAACAATTACATTACTCCGAGTTATTCATCAATCAATGAAAATCGATATATAGTCCATACTTCAATTTACAATATTGGCAAGTCCAATTTCACTTGGCATATTTAACTCATATAGAAAAACCCGTTGGAATCGGCAAAATTATCTTTAATTCCATACATAAGAAAAAAAAATTATAAAGTTCTTCAATAATAGCAAACTAATAGTTTAAATAGATTTACAAGTATCGCCCATCTACTTTTGATATAATTCACATATTAAATGTAGAAAACTGGTTTAAAATAAATATTTCAAAAGTTCGAAAACGATTTATGAAAAAATAACGTGATGACATTTACTAAATTTGCTCTGTATTAAAGTATCGATGATAGAAAGAGCATATTTTGTAAATATTTCAAAAATATTTAAAAGTCGGAGAAATTGTATTGTAATGTACTATAATTATGTTACAAATCCGATTCAATACTAATCCTTCGCTATTGAAGTTGTTTTGAGAAGGATATTCTCTAAATTCTTGATAAATCTTTAAAATCTAGAGTAATCGTTTTGTAAACTTAACAAAACTAAAATGTATACCAATAGATTGGCATTTTCTACGTTTTCAAAGTGAGAGAGTGTAAATTCTTTTTTTATCCTATTAAGGTAAGGGTTTCGTTTTGCTAAAATTGTCACTTTTATAGCATATTTGTTTTTGGATGTTTTGCGAAACCAAAAAAAACTATGATATACAATGTGTGTGTAAAGAAAATACTTTATTTACTAGTTAAAAAATCATTTGGTATTGATCAAGTTATTTTTTCTGGATAAGATATTATATGGATAATTGGATAGAAAATACAATTATATAATCTTGTACCTGGTTTAATTAAGCTAATTGTCATCAGAAACTTGTAATTTTTATGAATTTCAGATTTTCTTTTCATTACTGCTTTTCTTAATAGGTCAAGTTCTTATTTACGTTATAAAGTATGATATTTACAAATATCAAGTTATCATGTTTTTTGAGAAATTATGAGAAACAAACAAAAATGAAAAAGATAGGAATAGCAATGAATAGTGATGTGGGTATAGAAAATGTAAGAGATATGAATGCAAAGCAATCAGTATTTAGGACATTGACCATAGATTTCGAAAAAAAAATGCTGCATATTGAGCGAAAACTATGATTATATTATAAGGCTGTCATTTAAAGCATAATGAAACTATTCCCTTTTCATTTTAATCGAATAAGATAGTAAAGATTTTTGAATTAGCTAGAAACTGATGAGATGTTTTCACAAATCAGATTTTTAATCTCTATAATGCATAATTCACTCAATATCTCAATTTTGATATTGCGAGATATTTTTGCTATCGGTTTCGCAATTTTGACACAATAGCAAGAGGGTTCTATAAGCATTATTATCAACGTAGAATCTGAATATCATATCAGAAAATGTCGCAAATCTGACATTTACCCGACCAAATAGCAAAAATAATTGAATACTTTTCGCAAAAACTTTAAAAATCGATAAAAATATGAAATATAGATATTAAAGAGACTTTTTATATAATATTCATAAAGATTTTCCAAAAATATGATACCGCAAAATTAAAAAAGTGACGTCTTGAGTGGAGTCAAAGGTCGAAATTGCTAGCTAAATGTTTTTAGCGAAATTGCGTATTGTACGTTTTTTTCGCAAAACGAAACCCTTAATTTATATGATCTGAAATATATGACAAGTTAATATGGAGAATTCTTTCAACCCAATTTTAATTTATTGAATTTTCTATTCGAATTCAAAAATTTTCCCAAGAAAAAAAATAATTAGGAAATTTAATATGTTAATACATAAAATATTTTATTTATTCAAAGAATTCAATTTTCTATTGGATCAAAAAACTTGTGTTAAAGTTCGTATTTTAAGATAACTATACTTTTAGAAGCTGTTTTTATTTTTTTCACCGGGATTTTATTAATTTTGCAAATTACCTCAGACTTTTCAGAGGATTGAGTTGCCACTCAATCCTCTGAAATAGTCTGTGGTAATTTTTAGTCTCTACACTATTTCAATATAAGCTCCATTTTTAAACAGTTTTTAAAAATCGAGCATTGAAAAATGTGATGAGACTTAATTCTTTCAAAATTTGAATCTTATTGTATATCACCGGACTATGATCATAATAGAGTTGCAATCTCTAATTATAGCCACATTAGTACTCGTGGGTCGATATATCATGGGAGATACAAAATTATTTGAATTTTCTTTTATTTTTTTAAAAAATATTAAAAAAATAAATAAATAACAACACAGCATCACTTTTCGTAAAATGCTTTAATCCTAGTCCTTTTTCCCCTTAATTTTTCAATCTCTCCCAGGTTGAAATTTATTCCGGGAATTTTTAAAGATGCTTGGTCAACATAAAATTTCATTAAATCTTCCACAGGAGTCATAAACTCTGAACATTTGAAGCGAGCATGAACTGCATCATTCAAATTTTTAAGAAGATTTTTGTTCGAAAAGTGATTCAATACGGCGATTACATGAATACAAGGTAATCCGTATAATTCGATGTGCTTACATGTGCATGAATATTGTGAATCTGACATAATTTTTACGCAATATGTATAGCGACCAAAAGTTGCATAATATAATTCTTGAATTGGATCATATAATACCGAGCTAAACATATCTGAATGTTTCAAAGTTTCATTTAGATTTTTGATAATATTATCTGATTTAAAATCACCTGTTAAAACATTTTTAACAAGATTGAATTCATGTTCAATGAGACGGATAATTAGTTCGGCGGGGTTCATATGTATCCCATTTATCTTTAATTTCGGCATTAAGGGATTCAATAAGAGATGTTGTGAGTATGCCAGCGGTGTAGTCAGCGAATCCTTCAAATGGGTTAATACTATCTAAGTACTTAAAGAGATCCTGATTATTTTCGCGGTTTGGATATTCCTCTTGTAAACGAGTTTCTAACTTTTTAATCAAGTCAATTCGTTTTTGAGGATGGTCTGCGTAAGCGACTTCAACAATTTCGGAATAGACATTGATGTATTCCCTTTTTGTTGCAAAATGACGTAAGCAAAATTTATGATCGCAAGAAAAGCCTGATTCTCTAACAGCAGCTATAATTGCCGGACCTTGATCGGAATAAATATTCTTGAATCTGCTTGGTGGAATAAAAGATTTCAATTTAGTGAGCATATCCTTAATTGTTATCGTATTTTCACTAACAGACCATGCAAATGCAATAGGGATAAGTCTATTATTTGGTGCAGGTGTACCAATAATGAGTAAGTTTCCTTTTTTAATACAAAATAAAAACGTTCCATCAATTTGAATTATTCCGCAAAAAGCTTGTGTTTGCATGTAAAAATGAGTTATTGGAGGAATTACAATAAATGAATAAATTTGAAAGTCTTTTGAATTTTCAGGTAATTCATCACCTTTCTTAAATGTATGCAATTCAATTTCATTGTTAACTTCTTTAACTAAAATCATTTCGCAGAATCCTTGTTCGATTTTGTTTATGATTGAAAAAATTGTTGAGAAATAATTGTAAGATTGAATTCTATCCCCTTTTGTGGTTCCTTTAAGTTTATTTACTATATTATGGAACATCGTATAAGTTGCATTGGGAATATTCAATTCTTTTGCAAAAATTTCTTTGCATTGAGGAACATTATCAGAATTTGCTAATTCATAGACTTTTTTTCCTGCTTGCAACTTAAGAATTTTTGGTATATTGTTACTCGGCTTGCATTGCTTTGCTCTATGCTCGTGTTTAATTACTGGAATGAAGAAAAGTTGACCATTTTCATGAGTCTTTACAAGCTCCATGCAAAATTGGCAGTTAGGACAACGAAACTTTTTTCCTTGCTCAAAATTAGTTAGTATACATATCATGTGTACTGAGGCACTGCGCGCCTCCTTACACTTGTTATGTGAATTTGACACTTTACAAAACCAGTAACATATATTTTTACAACACAAACGACAACACTAACTTAACATTAAATATTTACAAAGCCACCAACCACTTCACTAACGAATTCACTAATGTTTTCACAAACGACTTCACTAATGTAAAAATAAACGTTCTCACTTACAAAAGTATTGCAACTCCTCCCATTGCTGTGCTTCATATAACAGCTCATAATCTTCTGACTCACTTTCTTCTTCATATAGGTCAAAATCACTGTCATAGTTTATACCTGTAAGTTTTGACAAAGCTAATGAAACACGCTTACCGTTTGTATCATATGCTTGTATAAACTTTCCATTATGCTTGTAGTCATAAACGCTCAAACTAACTTTACCCTTTCTCCCTCGTATCTGATAGAATGTATTTTCACGAGGAACGAAGAACAAATTCTTGAACTCATGACCGTTGTAGTTTGTTATCTCAATAGTTTTCGTCATTACATCCAAATAAAAATTTTCAGTAAAAATAAAACTAATGAAGTTAGTATGGTTATCTTGGGTACGGCGGCACTGCGTTCCACCTTACCCAACTTAACCTTAAATATTTACAAAACCGTCTGACACATAAACGACTTCACTAACGACTTCACTAACGACTTCACTAATGACTTCACTAACGACTTCACTAATGAAAAAATAAACGTTCTCACTAACGTTCCCACTAATGTTCTCATTTACAAAAGTATTGCAGCGCTTCCCATTGCTGTGCTTCACACAATAGTTCATATTCTTCAGTATCGCTGCTGTCACTCCAATCGTCAGAGTCAAAGTCACTGTCAAAATAAATGTTAGTAAGTTTTGACAAAGCTAATGAAACACGTTTACCGTTTGTATCGTATGCTTGTATAAACTTTCCATTCTTCATTCCTTCATAAACGCTCAAACTAACTTTACCCTTTCTCCCTCGTATCTGATAGAATGTATTTTCACGAGGAACGAAGAACAAATTCTTGAACTCATGACCGTTGTAGTTTGTTATCTCAATAGTTTTCGTCATTTACATCCAAATAAAATAAAAAATAAACTTAAAAAATAATGATATCACCACCCTCACACGTATGAAAACATAGCACAAAAATAAATTTAGGTGAAGTGGTGAGATCTCACCTCTTTTTTCACCTCTTTTTTCACCCACTTGAATTCATTGCTTTATTCCTCACTGTCGTCTGCTTTCTCCAACTCTTCTAACTTCTTCCTAAGTTCACCAATGTTGTCCTCATGAAGTTTAATCTTTCTCAAAATTCCTTCTTTATCTAATGGTTGCTTTATCTTTCTAAACTGAACTCTACCATCCTTCATAGTATGAATGTAAAAACCTTCTGGAATAGTTCCTGATTTAATGTATTCTACCAAAAACTTTTGTTTCATTGCTTCAGTGACTTTAGTCGTCATTTCAATCAAATAAAAATTTTAATATTAAATAAAAATAACGTTATTTTTTCAGTAAGGAAACGCAGGAGTTTTACGATTTATTTGAGGAGTAGGTTCTGGTTTAAATGTTGGAGTCGGTTTAGGAGTTGACTTTTGAACAGGAGTTTGTACTTCCATAGGTTCAGGAGTCATTGAAGGTTTTGCTTGTGAAGGCGTTGGTTTTGGCGAGGTGTTGGAGTTTGTTTAACTTCAGCTACTTCAGTATTATTTACAACATTTGCTTTATTTCTTTTCAACATCATAACTGCTCCTGCTGTAGCTAGCAAACCTAGTGGGAGACCATATCTTATATAAGGACTTGACCAAATGCTATTTTTGACAGGAGCTGGTGGAACACCTAACCTTGGTGAGACTGCTCTTTGCCATTGTGCAGCTCGTAAGAAATATTCAATAGGTGCTCCATAATCGTTTGGTAAAGTTTGTTTCATAGATGGTGAAGGTTCACGAGAGCTTGATGAAGAACTCATTTATAAGCTTTAAAAATAAACGTTCATCCTTTATTCCTCACTGTCGTCAGTTGCTAAGTTATAGTCGTCAATCTTATTATTGGGATGCCTGACTGTCTTACTGAATGCAAAGCAACAATCCCTCATAAATCCAATAAGTGGCTTTGGTACGTTTTCAGTTGCTAGTTCAATAGGTCCTTTAACAGACAATTTGTATGTTATTGGAGCAGTAGATGTTTGACCTTGCTGGAAGCAAAAGTCCACTTCTGTTGGAAAACCACATAAGAAATGGTGTTGTTGTATCCCATTTATGTTCCACACTACCATCATCCACCAATGACCTCATAACATCTTCATTAAATCCTATATCATTGTTTGTATTGCAAGCGTTCGCAACCATTTCATAAAATCAGGTCCATATGATTTTTCAGGTTCTGCAGGCATATTTCCATAAGCTCCCATGGAAAGCTGAAGATATTTAAACTTAGGGTTCTCAAAATTAACATAATAGTTGTCTTTCTTTCTAAATAGTGCCCAAATACTTTTAACATTAATAGGCGTATAAGCTGCTGTAAATGTTGCACTTGAACTATCTGTATTCTTTGAGAATGAACCGTCCATAGGAATCCAATCCATAACTTTAACAGGAAAACATAAAGCCTCGTTTGTATAATGTTCTACAAGTTCTGTATAAATGTTAGGGTCTAAAGAGAATGACTTTGGATGAATGAAACATTCATTAAAATCCATCTTTGTTCGAAATAGTTGCTGGGTTACAGTTGTAATAGTAACTGTTCCACTAGCTTCTATGCCTTCGTTATCATAGTGAATGGTTCATTCCATGGAACAAATTTATTTGTCGGTGGATTTGAATCTGAAGCAAATGCAACTTTAAGAGTTGGATTGAAAGCAATGATATCATTTACAGATATAGATGTGCATTGTAAGGCGTCGCTACTGAACTTTACTTTAAGCTGAATGTTTCCTGCAAATGCTGGAATAAATCTTATAGCTTCTAATGGTAAAATTTCTAACAGGAATTCTTAAACGAAGCTTAAAATCAAATGATTTTCCTGCTGTAATTGGACCACTAACAATTTGTCCTGTTCTGCATGTTCCCGAATGACTCCATACATCTTCATGTCGAGTCTTTGAGAAAACATCTACTTTCTTTATTTGTTCGGTAGTTTGTGAGTTTGAAGTTATATATGCTTCTTCTCTTGCGTTGTCTTGAGAATATACGATACGACCATTTGCAAGGATTTGATATCCAGCAACTGCATAGAAAGCGTCATCGAAACCAATCCAAAATCCTGGTGGGTTTGTTTTATTGGAACCTGAACCAATTTCTTTATCTACAATAAATTGACCTTCCATTTTATACGTAATGAATGTATTGTAAAGGTCCAACATATTTTCACCAGGAGGTGAGAGATTGAATGTTACCCATGTGTTATCTTTAGCAGTTCCAGGTTGTGATGGAATCTTTGCGTCAGAATATTTTCTATTAGTGTCACCAATTTGAACTGCATTGTCTATGATATCGAAATATGAGCGAATCTGATGAATATGCTCTGCTGGAGTAAATTCGTTTAACTGTTCGTTCTGCATGTATTTACTTCGGATAAAAATATCTATTTACTTCATTATTCTCACTCTTCTTCTTGGCATTCGTGGTGGAAGTTGTTTCTTGACATTTTCAATGAACTGTACATTCTCTTTTGTCTCAACTTCTTTCACTGGCGGGTCAGGGTTCTTTGACTTGGTTTGTTTTTCAATGAAATTCACGAACTTTGCAATAAGCTCTTGGTTCGTTATTGAAAGAACATCTGGCTTCTTTTCTTCTGGTTCTATTGACTTTTCAGTTTGAATAGAAGGTTTTATATGGGCTTCGTGGACTTCACCCTTGCCATGCACCTTAATGTTGTCGCTTTCTGCATTCGCTAATGGAACCTTTCTTTTTCTTACATATATTTTACCATCTTTACTCTGACTTACGTAATAGAAAGGATGTTGTATTCCTCTTGCGTCATTTAATATAATAGACTCTCGCTCTGATTTTGACAAGCTCATTTTACATCGGTTAAAGTTTTAATTTTGTTTTTTATCTGCAGTCAAATGACTCAGACAAGCCCTACGGACAAGACCCAAGGGGTCATAGATGTTGAAGCATTGAAGAAAGAAATTCGTGAGCAAATTTTATCCGAACTGAAGGAACAAAAACAAGAACAAAAGCCAGAGAGACCAAAGAGAAAACTTAGTGAAAAACAACTTGCTGCATTAGCTGCTGGAAGACAAAAGAACCCAAGACTACTGGCGAAAAAAGCTAGAGAAGAAGCTGAAGCAAAAGCTAAAGAAGCTGAAGCAAAGAAAGAGTAAATGGTTTATTTTTATCCGAATTAAATGTATAGACAAATACCTTTATCTGTTGCGTTCAGTAGTGAAAACCCTGACGTCAAAATAAAGGGGAACAGAGTAACGTTTAAGTTTCCAACAGACTGGATTGTAAACATAAATGAAGAGAAGTACATTGGCATAACATCTATGTATATAACACGTGCATTTAGGAAAGTTGACTTTATACTTCAAGTCGAGATAGAAAATGACGAACAGTCTTTAAGCGCCCAAAACATTCACATATACAAATACTTTAAAGACGATACAACATTGTTGCAATGTATGATTTCATTTAATGAAATGTTCGAGAAAAAGTTTAACATTGAAGTACAAACCTTACAGCCTTTACGTGAGTTTCTTGCACAACTGAAAGAAGAAGGTAGTCAGCCACAACTTATAGACTTTCATTATGAATTTAATGAAAATGAAGATGGAACTCATGACTGTCAGTTTGTTGTATTCTCACCATTCAATGAAGTAGCTAAAGAGAAAGAAAATCCATTACGTATAAGGTTTCAAATCTCTGAACCCAATGAAGATTTCAAGAATGTTTTCAATTATGATGCAATGCTTCCGAGGAAAAATGAATTTTCAAAGATTGTAACACCTGGCATTTGGGATAGAAAGCAAGCTATATTATATTCAAACTTAAGTAAGGGAGTTGAAAATGAGTTCATTGGTCATACAAGAACTTCACCACTTCCTAACCCTAAATACTATAAATTAACTGGCTTCAATCGTGAGTTTTGGATAGACATGTTCTCCACTCATGACCATAACTGCCCAGTGTTCTTACCTCCAGACCATAAGGACTGTCTCTACATTGAAGCACAACTCTTAAATTCTACCATCGCAGTATTGTAAATGACCTCATGGGCTTCGCCCTTGCCGCTAGCGGCTTATTTTTATCACGAATGACCTCATTGCTGACAAAAATAAATGACCTCATTCATGACCTCATTGCTGACCTCATTCATGACCTCATTGCTGACAAAAATAAATGACCTCAGAACTTCAACTTACGAATAAAGCTTGTTTTAGTCGTTATTGAGAAGTTAAACTTTTCAGCAAAGCAAGGACTAGAAGACTTACATAAGTCAAATCCAATCTCTTGACCATCATAAAGTGCTTTATAAAGTTTCATGACACTGAACTCAGAGTCTTTGTCAAATTTTCCAACAGGTATGTGAATGTTCTTATCTTCATTGTAATAGCATTGTATAGCTTCAGGAAACATTTCATTAGCTGTTAAAGCAAGAACGTCTTGTTTTACACCTTTACAACGTGCATGGAATGCAACTTCATTTAAATCGTTAGTGAGTAAGTCTATGTAGGTCTTCTTTCCACAAAATATTGACTTGTATGCTAAACTTTGTTTTCCAGGTGTTATTTCTGCGAAGTCAGAATGAAATTGACCAAGGTTCTTTCCTATAAGTTCGCGACCGTATCTCTTCTTAAACTCTGCTGCAAGCTTTGGTATGTCTTCATTGAAAATATGCATGCTATCACAGTCCTGAGAAATTTGAAGTCCCATATCTTCAGCAGTACAGAATACTTCACACATTATTCTCTTCGACATTGACAGAATGTTAACACCAAGTGGACAGAAGTTAAAGTGTCTGCAAATGCTTTTCGTTAGCTTGAAAATAGTTTTATCTGAACCATCCAAACCTTCGAACTTCACTATATGGTTGTAGTTTCTGATGGCATATCTTATAGCATCTTTGTCATTTACTATGGTTATTTTTGACTCAATAGGAGATAGAATAGTTTTGCCATAAATACTGTTCAGAATGAGCTTTATATTTTCTTGCAAAGGATTTCCTTCTTTCTTATACTTTAACCTTAACTCAAACAACTTCTTTACTTCATCTCTTATTCTATATCTCTGTTTCCATCGTAATAGTATCCTTGCAACACTTCACATTTGACACCTTGATATTTTATGAGGTCTTGTAATGTTATATGGTCAACATACATGAGACAGCAAGTGTTTGAACTTCTGGGAACGTTAAGTTCTGGATTTAGTTCAGGGTCACAAACTATTAAAGGAAAGTGTCTATGTATTCCAATCTCTGTTATCTTAATGAGAACAAAGAAGCCAGACATAAACTTTTCACCAATGGGTTCCTTTTGGTCGTCATCGAATAAATGTCTCATGAGATACTCTGTGCTTAACATCTCATCCTTCAATACTTTTGGAATTCCTTCTAAAGTATACAATCTTGCTATAGCGGATGGATATAATGAAACAGCGTCGAAGTCAGCAATGAGTTTCTTTTCGCTCTTTGTTTCATGTTATCTGACAGCATACATCTTCCACCTTGAATGCATCTCGAAATAAATTCTCTTGGTTTATTTGAGAGGTCATAAAGATTTCCATTCGGGAAGTACACTCTGTTCTCAAATAATTTGTTAGCAATTGAACAAATACTAACGTAGTCATAAACGTTTAAATCAAATTCTTTCAATATGTCATTGCGGAACTTAACAAAACCTTCTCTTAAAATTCTTACATCTTGTTTGCAGTAAAACGTGCTATATTTTTCTAAGTCGAAATGGTTTTCATCTATTCTGCAACCTTTGATGGAATCTATGTTTTTCATAAATGTATCTGCATCCTGGATAAACTTACATGCTTCAGAAATGACACCAGTTCTGTTGTCATTTGCTAACAAAGTACTGCTGTAGTAGTTGTATGGAAATACTTCTTTCGGTCCTGTTTGTAAGTTAAACATAGCAGGAAATAGTTTAAGCTTCTTATTTATAATACTGTAAGAGTCTTTTATAATAATTGCCCGTCCTTTATATAAACCAGTTATTTGCATTGTTCGTGAACCTTTAATGATGGGAGTTCCTTTCACTTCTGTCATGTGTCTTAAGATGAAGTTTATATCATAACTGAGGTTATGGAAATATATTAAACTCTTGTCAGGAAGTCGTTCCAAAAATTCTGTTGCACAGTTCTGACCCCAAATGCTTTCACTCACTGAACCATCTTCACTGTCGTAACAGATGTTAAAAGCTTTATGAAAGCCATCCGTACTACACTCAAAGTCAGCAAAGAAAACGTGCTCAGGAATGAACTTACATTTAGCTTTATTTACTTCTTTTGACTCTGCTTTCTTCTTCAGTTGTACACAATACTTTGGAGCATATGTCAAATCTTTAAATGGTGCAAGGTTCTGTTTATATAAGTCAGTCGTATATGTGAAAAGTTCTCCATAAGAAATAGGTTCGAAATATTTGCACTCCCACAATGTTTTCATAACATCCCATAGCGGTGTAGTTCTATCCATGCGAACTACATATTTATCTTCTCTCTTTGTATAAATCTTCATCTGTTTCTCAATGTTCATTCCACCACACTCCTTCAAGATTTCTATATAGTTGCGAATGAAATATGTTGTCATTGGTAATCTTTCATTTAGCATGTAGTGGTCTTCAACAAGAAGTAAGTCAATAGTTCGAATAGTTTTACATTCTTTTGGTATGTATCTCTTTATTTCATTATGTCTTGAGTCATTGAAATAACCAATGGTAACATTAAATGCTATACCTGTTGCGTCAGAAATTTCTTGTACTTTACTTTGAGGAAAGTCTCTAACACGAATGACTTCTCTCATGTGGTCAATAGTCTCTCCATCTACTCCAGCCTGAATGCAAGCATAAACGAAACAATTGTCTTCTGTCATAAGTGTTGCAGTTCTTTTGTTCAGTTCATTGAAGATTTGGTAGCGCTCAAGATTTATAGGTAATGTGCAAAGATACTTCCAGAACTGACCGCTTCTCTTCTTATAAAACTTCTTTTCACCATTATCTTTCCAAAAGCTTTCTATAAGTGCTGGGTTTCCTGTTTGCTTAAGAGCTTCCAAAATGGCTTTCTGGTCATTTGTCAGTGTGCTTTCATCTCTATATGGTCTCTTTTTTGGTTTGCCTTTCTTTACATCTGACATCGTTAAGCCTTCATATTCTGTTAAATCATACATCTTTATTTCGGTAAGATTCTTTATGTTTGTCAAGAAGAAGTCATAGTGCATTTCAACAATACCTGCAGCATTTGCTTCTATCTCTGATATAAAGTTCTCCTTCAAGAGCTGATGTAGTAGTGTTCCAATATTATTGAGGTTTAACGTAGAACATTCATACTTTCCACCAAGTTTATAACATACCATCCATCTCTGTTGTGAGTTTATTTTAATCTTCTCTAAGAGTCTCATGAAAACCTTACCGAAATGTTTGTGTAAGTAGTCTCTGTTTGGTTCATCTAAAGCTTCGATGTTAAAGTCAATGAGTCTATTGCCTGACTTCACATTTCTCTTCCTATTCTCTTCATCTTTCTTTAACCATCTCTCACCTTCTTTTGGTTTGTCGTCAATGGAACGAATGACATCGTTAGCTTTGCGAACTTGTTCTATAGCGCTCTTAAACATCTCTCTTCTCTGTTGTTTCAGTGTGTCGTCTCTTCTTCTTGTTTCACCAACGTTTGCATTTGTTATGTCAAACATTTCTCTTCTTACTTCATGAGGTACTGAACGTCTATGATATAAGTCAATAGCAACGTCATTTAAAGGAAATGTTTTGTTATTAATGTAATCATGAATTCTATCATAACTTATTGCACCATTATAGTCATTGAGGATGTCAGCGAGTGCTTTTTTGTTTGTCGCGTAATGTTTTGCAACATCTATGTTAGCTTCTGTAAGAAGTTGTTTTATTTCCGAGTGTTCTAACTTAGACAACTTCCGATACATCTTTAGTAGGAAATAAAAAAATTTTTTTGAAAAAATTAGATTAGATTTTTTTTAAGTTATTTTTCAAAATAATTTAATATTTTTATTTTAATGAAACACATGCAAGATTGCAAGTTCTTTTCATACAATGCTCTCGCTACTGCCATCAAGAATGAGTTCAATAATGCTTCAAATGTTAATGTTATCTTTAACAAGAAGTTTGTGAAAGAATCTAAGTTCGGTCAGTATGTCAGACCATTAGCTATCGTCATTGACCGCAAACGTTATACTTCACAAGAGTTAGCAGTAGTTTTGAAACAAAAGAGTTTCTTCGTGAATGTCAAAGATACTCATTATACTGTCATAAAGAACTCTAACATTGACTTCTTCAGTATTGCTATGAATCTTTCCGAACAGAAAGAATATAAGAAGGGTGAAACAAATGTGAAATATTATCCTTCATCTCTGAAGACAATAACGAACAAAAATGTTATACATAAGCTCCTACCAAAGGTTGAAGAAGCTTCTATTGACATTGACGAAGGAAGTGAAATGGTTGAAGAAATAGACCCTGAAGCTATTTAAGCAAAAATATATTTTTGGTTAGTATTCATATGGATATTTTACAACAATTCCCCAATGTATAAACTTTTCATACGCTTTTTCATAAGCTTTATATACCTTCAGAAATTTTGCATAATCTTTAGAAGCATTTAGATATTGTTTAAATGCTTTGTATGTCTTCAGAAATTTTGCATAATCTTTTACATGCTGTTCGTTCTCCTCTTCTGTCATGAGTTCCGAATATTCTAAATTCATGTTCTTTCATATGAGATAAAATTTTATAAAAAAAATAAAATTAGCTTAGATTTTCATTCTTCCTCTTTGAAGTTATCGAAATATTCTGTTATTTTTCCCTTCAGTAATGGTAAGTCTTCTTTGAATGTAAGTATTGTGCAACCTTTGATGTCATAGTGTGTTTGAGGAAGAGTACTTTTGACAATTTCCTTTATTTGCTCATTCGGTGTCATTGAAATCGGTAAGTTTTCACGATAGAACCAGTTTCTGTCAGATTTATATATCTTAGCGAGGTCGTAAAAGCTTTTGTTGTTTCTTCTGACTAAATGCAACATAACCATATCTTTATCTTCTTCATTTTCCATCTCTTCAGTATATATCATATACTTATAACTCTTTTCCTTTCCTTTTGGTACTGAACGCGGTATTCTTTTCTGTATGCTTTTGTCTTTGGATTCAATGACTTCATCTTTTGCTTGAAGTTTCTTTTCCATCTCTCCACGTTCTTGTCTGTGAATTTCGTCAAGAAGTTTACAAACATACCAAGCATAACGAGGTGAAGCCCACATTGCTACAGCATTTACGAGAAGTCTATGAACATAATATCCTCTCAAACCGTTTGGCAATTTTTCACGATTTTCATAGAGTTTTGGCGACTGGGGTTTTTTACCTACTCGCTGTTCTTCACTGTTTTCAGAAAAAAGTATGTCTCGCTGTGCTTCATTTAATAGTTCAATAGTGCTTTGGTTCCTAAACCAGTCTTTAGGAAGTTTAGTATCTGGAGCATAACATGCTGTCAAAATACTTTGCATTTGGTACATGTCATCTTTGACTGAACGAATGAGACGTAACTGTTTGTTATATTGTATGTACTCGTATTCTTCATTTATGACTTCATGGACTATAACTGTTGTTGTGTTCTCTGATGTTGTCATTACTGTCTTTACATACAAAATAAAAAAATAAATAAAAATAAAACTAACTTTATTTTTTCTATCTTAAGGAAATTCATGATTTTTGTGCTGAATTCAATAAAAATATAATTTAGGTGAAGAGGTGAGATTTCACCTCTTTTTTCACCTTTTTTTTCACCCCAGTTATTTTATAAACGTTTCACATGGTAAACGTTATTTTTGGAATTTTGTGAAAACTCAACGGTTTGACACATGCCCTAAAATTATTTTACTCAGAATTTTGTTGCTGAATTCAGCAAAAATATAATTTAGGTGAAGAGGTGAGATTTCACCTCTTTTTTCACCTGTTTTCTCACCCCAGTTTTTTCACAAGCGTTTTACATGAATTGTACGATGTATATTTGAAATCCTAAACAATTTCGTAGCTTCTATTTCTTCTGTCAGTATGTCAAAAGTTTTAACGATACCGAAAGTTTCTTTATACTTCTTCTTGACGTCAGATAGAAGGAAATCTTCTGCTGTTGGATAGTTTTTGTTCAGAAATTCTAACATGTCCATTTTATTTTCTACCGGCTTCTCTGCTTCTTTCTTTAAGTCTGCATAGTCGTTTCGCATACGTTCTATCTCTTTGACGGAGTAGTTATATTTCCTAATTGCTGCTTTACATTTAGAACATTGCGGGTTCATTTTTGCGTTATACATTGAAATAAAACCAGCTAAAACAACTAAAGCGTCAATTGCTCTCTTCATCTCAAACATAGCGGGTCTTATTTGTTCGTTCCATACTTTGCCTCTTCTATCTTTATCTCTTATTTCCCAAACACATTTTGCAACTAATGAAACAAAGTTATCGTAAGTCTTAAACTCCTCAGATTTATATATGTCAGAAATGTTTTTATAAACCATGTCGCAATCTTTGTCCATAACTTTATGGTTGCAATGAAAACCAAGGAATTCATAATTTACTTTACGTATGAACTTCTTTATTTCTACTGAATCAGTAACTTTAACTTCAATTTCGTCGAATTCAGGAATAGTTAGTTTTTGCTGTTGGATTTCAGGCAATTTGGGTAAATGGTCAATAATGTCCTGCATTTCATAAAGATATTCTTCATTTTCTTCATCCTGTGCGGTACAGTCTAAATTACTTGTTAAAAGTTCTTGCTTTATCTTCTGGATTTTTGTTTCGAAAGTAAATGAAGAAGGAATGAAGTTTTTCATCTCTACTAACATAGATGTTGGATTCATGACTAACGAGTTTGGTGCTGTTGTTTGAATTGTTGTTGTGCCGATTGTTGAAATCATATCTTTACATACAAAATAAAAAAATAAATAAAAATAAAACTAACTTTATTTTTTCTGTCTTAAGGAAATTCATGAAAATTCACGGGGGTGAAAAAACAGGTGAAAAAACAGGTGAGATCTCACCTCTTCACCTAAACATTATTTTTGGTGAAAAATGACCAAATTTCATGAATTTTCACAAAAGACCAAAAATAAACGCTTTACATGTATTTTTCAGCAACTTCGTCAAATAATTTTATAGCTTTATCTATCTCATCTACTTCAAACGTTTCTTTACCTTTCATGGGAGCACCATACCTTTTCTCAAACTTTTCAAGTAGTTCTGTTTCTGCAGCTCTCATATCATTAACGAACACAACCTTGACTCTATTGACTGTAGAGTCATATCTTTGAGTTATATTATATGTTCTTCCTATCTTATATCTCTTTGTATTGAAGTCCTTCGGTTTCTGAACGATGTAAAGTAAGCCTTCACTGCAACGTTCCGTATCGAATGAACCATATGTTATGAAGTTATATCCAACAACTGGGTCTAACCATAACAAAACTATTGGTATAAGACTTTTGTCGATGAGATATGCTGTAGTTCCATAGAATCTTACCGATATCATAAGCTCAGGATTTCTTGTCAAAATTTTCTGAGTTGAAGCATTTCTAACCCAGTCGTGTGTTTTCTTTCCAGATGGAAATATAATGTCTGACAAAGAATATTTGTTGTATTTCTTTGAGTATCTTACGTTTAAATCACCTATTCTAACCAATTTGGTGTCATTGTCTATCTTTCTAACTGTTTCAAACTCAATGTTTGTCATTACTGTCTTTACATACAAAATAAAAATTTTTCTTAGAAAAAAATTAGCGTTATTTTTCTAACTAATGAAATTCATTATTTTTGTGCTGAATTCAATAAAAATAAAGTTTATGTTAGCATGTTAGATCTAACATTCTACCCTAAAAATTATTTTTTATTTTTTCTATCTTAAGGAAATTCATGAGAATTCATGAGTTTTTGACGAAGTGCAAAAGTTCACTTCGTGTCATAATGCAAAAAAATAATGCTGAAAACACACAAAATTCATGAGTTTTTGACGAAGTGCAAAAGTTCACTTCGTGTCATAATGCAAAAAAATAATGCTGAAAACACACAAAATTCATGAGTTTTGTGTGTTTTAGACCATGTTAGAAAACAGGTGAGATCTCACCTCTTCACCTAAAATATATTTTGTCTGATTTACATCTAATGAAAAAGTTTAGAAGAATTTTCTTATTCTTTCTGGCATATTTTTGTCTTTCCAGTACTCCCGCTCTAATGGTCCCAGATGTGTTGGCTTTGACTCTCTCAAGTTCTTAGATGGTATAACATCTTCAACACCTCCTTCATATCTTACTTTATAAGTGTCATCGTTTATGTTGTAGTCAAGTATTTCAATAACCACTCCTCGCTTTGCTTCGTCAATGGTTTCAGCAAGTTTGCCATTACTACTTTCAACTAATTTATGACGAGGATAAAACGCAATAGAGTCGTCAGCAGCTTTTATAAGATATCCATTACCTTGCGTAGAGTCTACGATATAATAATTTCGACTTAACCTTAAACGTTTCTTTGTCAACGGTTTGTCGTCAAGAACTACACGAACTTTTGTTCCAGGAATGAGGGTAAATTGTGTTGAATTTCTGATATTTTGTGTTTGGCTTCGTTTCTTTTGTATATACTTTTCTTCTTGTTGTTGTGTCATTGAATTTGGTGTATGGCCTGTTGTAGAATGCGTTGAGGAATTATATACTTCGAGAAAATGTTTCATTGTTTCTTCGGTAAAGTCTCGCTCTTGATTTAAATCTCTGAGCGTTCTTATGAAGCGGTTTATGATGCCGAGTATGTTATGGTTATGGTCTTCAGTAGTGTAGTGAGTTATGTTATGCTTAATGAGAAATTCTGTGATTTCATTGCTGAGGTATGCACTGTCTTGGTCTGATGTTAAAGTACTTGGGCTATGTTCTGCTACAAACTTTTGTAAAACTCTTAACACTTCACGAGTTCCTTTATTTTTCATTGGATATGCATATGCTTTACGAGTGTTAACATTTATGAAGATGAGGAATGGTTTATGTCCTCCTTTTCTGCTTTGAATGAGAGTGTCAAATTGGTATGCGTCAGGAGTGTTGGAGTAAATTGGTAAAAAGTAGTCGTAAGGGTTTATTTTTGTTTGATGTACAACATTTTTGTCAAAGAACCTTTTCACTTCAGCTCTGTTAGTAAATCCCCAACTCTTTGCAGCTTCATTGAACTTCTTAAATGACCTCCATGGATGTTGTTCGAATACTTCTTTCAAGCTCATTTATGTAAAGTTAAAGATTTTAACCAACTCGTATCCAAGCGTGCATTGTTATATAAGGAGGCATATAATCTTTTCCATTACCTGCTGGGTCTGTAATACCAGCTACAACATGTGTATGATTTCCTGCAGTTCCACAGAAAATACCTGTGCTAACATCTTTGGGGTCATCTGAGATATCATATCTATTCATTCCCCATCTATCCGAACCCGCTGCAAGATTTATATAACCTCTTTTTGTTATTGAATGTGAATGGTTTCCTTCCACAGATGTTCTTCCACTGAACCTATGCATATGTGAAGGAAGGTTTTCAATACCTATTTTCTTTGAACCTCCCATCTTCATTGACTGCGTATTAGTGTAGAATGGAAAACTGTCAACTATTTCATACCATCTACCACCAAATAAAGTGTTTGGATTTATTGGATTCATAGACGTATAAACAGCTCCTATAGGATATATTAAATCATATATGCTCATAACTCTGTAAACATAAGTTAGTATACAAGTCTCGTGTACGGAGGCACTGCGTTCCTCCATACGCAATACTTGTGAATTTGACACTTTACAAAACCGTTAACGTATATTTTACAACACAAACACAAACACCAACTTAACCTTAAATATTTATAAAGCTGCCAACCACTTCACCTCACTACTGTAAAAAAATAAACGTTCTCACTTACAAAAGTATTGCAACTCTTCCCATTGCTGTGCTTCACACAATAGTTCATATTCTTCAGTATCGCTGCTGTCGCTCCAATCGTCAGAGTCAAAGTCACTGTCAAAATAAATGTTAGTAAGTTTTGACAAAGCTAATGAAACACGCTTACCGTTTGTATCGTATGCTTGTATAAACTTTCCATTCTTCATTCCTTCATAAACGCTCAAACTAACTTTACCCTTTCTCCCTCGTATCTGATAGAATGTATTTTCACGAGGAACGAAGAACAAATTCTTGAACTCATGACCGTTGTAGTTTGTTATCTCAATAGTTTTCGTCATTTACATAAATAAAAATTTTCAAAATAAAATATAAAAATAAACTTAAAAATAAATGATATCACCACCCTCACATGTATGAAAACATAGCCCAAAAATAAATTTAGGTGAAGTGGTGAAATCTCACCTCTTTTTTCACCTCTTTTTTCACCTCATGAATTCATTGCTTTATAACTCTCTTCCTTGGTTTCTTTTTAGTTGCTTTCTTCACGTCTGTCTCCAACTTGACTGTCTTTCTTCTTCGTCCGTAATGATACCAGTTACTTCCACCAGTCAATGGGTCAAATGGTCTTTCGTAAGGGTTTCCATACATTCCATAGGGACCATACGGAAGAACTGCTGGTGGAGGAAGAGTTCCATCGACTCTATTTAAATGCATTGTTTCACCTTTCATCTGGTCATTAAAGTCTTTTGCATGTTTTGCAAACTCATCGTCCTTTCCTAAAGCATTTTCTGACTCAGTCGCAACCAAATTGGATGCTTTATTTATGAGCCCTATTTTATTTAATCTTAACTTCTTTGCAACCCAGCCTCCAATCTTCCTTTATTTGCATCTAATGTCTTCGAAACCTTCCTCCACTCATTTTATTTACTGCGTCATAAGCCCAAGTGCTTTTGCTCCAAATGCTAATGCTTTTGTTCCCATTGCGCCTAAAGCTGCCCAAGCTACCATTTACACCATATTAAAATCATCTCTCTTCAATATTATCTCATAAAAGTTCTCGTTACTGGAGAAAGTCAATGAAACATAAACATTCTCACGGGCTTCGCCCTCACCGCTTTGCGGTCTATCTAACTTCTTTCTTATCTCATCTATTCGCTTCAAAATGTCTGAACAATTGCTAACATCTTCTACAACAGTTATTTCATCATGACTGACCTTCAAGAACAAGCTCATTTAATATGCAATTAAAATCATCTCAATAATGAGTCCATCCTTTCCATCTTTAGGTAGCACAACATCTTTCATTGAAGAAGGTTCGACAAGTCTTATGTTAAACTTACCGAAAAAGCAGATAAAAAACCACGTTCATTATATAACTTCAGACGAACAGATTTATAACGGACTACCATGGATATTAACACGAAGTGATGAAGCGAAGACAAAAAATGTTTAATGAAAGAAGATATAATACATTCGTGCTAAAGGTTATTGACATAAGCTGTACTGTACAGTATGACACCAGGTAAAGCACCAGAAGCATTTAGTTATAACGATGAAATTTATGCCTCTACTTTCTCTGTTAATGGTGTTATTAGTTGAACCAAGAATTTTATGTTTAAAGTTAAGCAAAAATAACGTTTGAAGATGCTATTAAAAGTAAAGCTGACAAAGTTGAACTTGACGCAACGAACAAAGTTTTGAAATCTCATAAACACAACATCTCCGATATAAATGAACTTCAAACTTCTTTAGACAGTTAAGCTGACAAGAACCATACACATAAATCCTTCACTTTTCTGTAGAGCAGACGACATAATATTGTAACTTTGACCTTTGGTCAAGTGCACCATTAGAAAATCAAGCACAAGCGTAAAAAGATACTCTTAACAGTTTAGATAACAGTTGCAGGAACATGAAAAGTCATGCCAGAAACTTTGAAGCATATGAACTACCAGCAATGTTAGATAAGAAAGCAGACAAGAACCATACACATAAATCCTTCACAACTGTTGCTATAGAAAAGTATTGAAGGAAACGGTTGAAAAAACTGGTGGGGATGCATTATATTGTAAACCTCCTAACTTTCCACAAGGTTTAACATCGGATGACGACATAACGACGATGAGAAACATTAGATGTAAAGATGTTTATGTTCATGAAGGTAGAACAAATATTAAATTCACTGCTCAAGATTTAATATTGGACAAGAAAGCAGACAAGAACCATACACATAAATCCTTCACTACTGTTGAGCAGACGACATAATATTGAACTTTGACCTTGGTTCAAGTGCACCTTATTTGAAGAATCCGAGTTACAAGCGCGTATAAGATACTCTTAACAATTTAGATAAGCTGTTGCAGGAATTACCGAAGATCATGCCAGAAACTTTAAGCATATGAACTACCAGCAATGTTAGACAAGAAAGCAGATATAAACTTATGTGGATGCAGAACTAACAAGACAAATTTTCGAAACCAGATACAATGACATTTACAACAAATTATAAATGGTGAACCAGCAACTCCATTGAATTTGTTTAGAGGTCTTCAACCAGATACTTTTGAATTTTTCTTGGATAATTCTATTGAATAACATTACATTATATAAAAGTGGAACAAATGCAACATTTCATCGGGAGATTACATTCCAAATGGTATTTAATGACATAAGTTCTTTAGAATATGTTTATAGAGTTATGAGCATATATGATTTTAATATATCCCATATAGGAGCTGTTTATACGTCTATGAATCCAATTAAATCCAAAACACTTTATTTGGTGGAGATGGTATGAAATAGTTGACAGTTTCCATTCTACACTAATACGCAGTCAATGAAGATGGGAGGTTTCAAAAAATAGGTATTGAAAACCTTCCTTCACATACTGCATAGGTTCAGTGGGAACATCTGTGGAAGGAAACCATTCACATTTCAATAACAAAAAGAGGTTATACAAATTCTTGCAGCGGGTTCGGATAGACAGGGAATGCATAGATATGATATCACAATGACCCCAAAGATGTTAGCACAGTATTTTCTGTTGGAAACTGCAGGAAATCATCAACATGTTGTAGCTGGTATTACAGACCAGCAGTAATGGAAAAGATTAATGCCTCCTTATATAACAATGCACGCTTGGATACGAGTTGGTTAAAATCTTAACTTTACATAAATGAGCTTGAAAAGAAGTATTCGAACAACATCCATGGAGGTCATTAAGAAATTCAATGAAGCTGCAAAGAGTTGGGATTTACTAACAGGAGCTAAGTGAAAAGGTTCTTGGACAAAAATGTGTACATCAAACAAAAATAAACCCTTACAACTACTTTTTTACCCAATTTTTACTCCAACACTCCTGACGCATACCAATTTGACACTCTCATTCAAAGCAGAAAAGGAGGACATAAACCATTTCCTCATCTTCATTAAATGTTAACACTCGTAAAGCATATGCATATCCAATGAAAATTAAAGGAACTCGTGAAGTGTTAAGAGTTTTTACAAAAGTTTGTAGCAGAACATAACCCAAGTACTTTAACATCAGCCAAGACAGTGCATACCTTCAGCAATGAAATCACAGAATTTCTCATTAAGCATAACATAACTCACTACACTACTGAAGAACATAACCATAAATACTCGCATCATAAACCGCTTCATAAGAACGCTCAGAGATTTAAATCAAGAGCGAGACTTTACCGAAGAAACAATGAAACATTTTCTCGAAGTATATAATTCTCAACGCATTCTACAAAACAGGCCATACACCAAATTCAATGACACAACAACAAGAAGAAAAGTATATACAAAAGAAACGAAGCCAAAACACAAAATATCAGAAATTCAACACAATTTACCCTCATTCCTGGTACAAAAGTTCGTGTATTCTTGACGACAAACCGTGACAAAGAAACGTTTAAGGTTAAGTAGAAACTATTATATCGTAGACTCTACACAAGGTAATGGATATCTTATAAAAGCTGCTGACGACTCCATAGCATTTTACCCTTCGACATAAATTAGTCGAAAGTAGTAATGGCAAACTTGCTGGAAACCATTGACGAAGCAAGCGAGGAGTGGTTATTGAAATACTTTGACTATAACACAAACGATGGACACTTATAAAGTAAGATATGAAGGAGGCGTTTGAAGATGTTATACCATCTAAGAACTTGACGAGAATCTAAACCAACTCATCTGGGACATTAGAGGCGGGAGTACTGGAAAGATAAAAACATGCCAGAAAGAATAAGAAAATTCTTTCTAAACTTTTTCGTTGGATGTAAATCAGACAAAAATATAATTTAGGTGAAGAGGTTGAGATTCACCTCT